GTATGAGTTTTTTAAATGTGTATTTTAAATGTATATTGATATTATTTTCTTTAATTGGCTCTGTGTTGCAGCTGTCATAGGCATCCTGTCTCTTGCGCCCCTTAACTTTTCCTCCTCTCTTAAGCGAGCATTTGCTAAGAATCACATCAATGGAAGCTGCTTAACCCTCAGTCATTTAATAGCATTTCTGTAGGATTAGCCTGGACATGGCCCCGGCCTGTACAGTTATGATTATTGACATATCGGGTCTGACATATTTCACATTTATGTGCATTGTCTGGAAGCATACTCAAGTGTTCTCAATGTCATTCCTTCTGAAGTACGACCAGGCACTGTGCGAGCAGGGGCCACAATGAATTGATCATTGCTCACTGCTCACTTTAATAATTCAAGCCTGATTGCCACAGAGTGCCGCAGTAAAATGGATTGGGAGAGGTCACATGGTGCTCAGCTCAGGAGGTGAGGCCTCTTGGGGATGCTTAATTCATATATGCTTGATAGACACGTGTCCTATTTAGAGAGGTCAGGCTGCTGTGTGGGACTGTGGCTTCTGTGAGTAGCCAGGTCACCGCTGGAGGATTAACACGTTGATCAGAGCACTGGAAAGGTAACACAAAAAGTCATGTTTGAACAATCTTTAGTATCATGTATTATTTAAGTATTCATTGTATTTGTGGTAGTATAAACCTGGGGCCTGTTACTGATTTTAACTTTTTGAACAAACTACAGTGTTTGTATTGCCTTTCTTTTCAGTGTCCCAGAGTATAATAATAGCAGCTGTTTACGTGACCAATCAGGATGGTCTGAAGGTGTCTAAGTGAGATGTTCAGCAAGTGGAATAATGAATAGGTGTCAGTTAAAGAAAGCCCACCTCCACAAGCAGGTGCTCCTTCACTATACAGTGACATGTCTTAAGGAGATGGACCTTTTTATGTATGCATGCCAGCACTCCTGATTACACCTAGGCTGGGGTTATTTTACTGCTCCAAAAGTCTGCTGGAAATGGTAAAGGTTATTAAAATTGTTGACAAGGAGGAAAGGTAATTGCCTGAAAATGAGCGACAACGCACTGTTGTAGCGAGTGTTTTTTCCCCTCAGCTCCCTCTTTAGTGGTTGCATTGTGCGGCATCACCCGGGTGTGTAACCTATTGCGTTCCGATTGCTCCCTTGCAATTAGTGCCCTTTTTGTCCTCACTTCAATAACACCATGATTATGGAGACTTCAGGAGTATTTGCAGCATCCAACAGCTGTTGTCTCAGGAACTACCGGCTGAATGACAAAAACATGTTTTCTTTCTGCATTTCACTTCCCTGACTGCCTCTTGTAATTATTATGTTTTATTTGGTGTGATGATGGGGTCTTGTTTTTAGTGTGTCTGTGATTAAGATATTCAAAGGACTCCTTGGAGTGTGCCACAGTCATTTTCTTTTTTATCGTTCTCGACTTTTGATTTGTTTCCCGTGAAGTGCGGAGTGGATGGGAAATTAGACGTCAGCCTATCATTGTCTGAGTCGGAGTCAGGGAGTTTTAGAGCTGTATGACTAAATTAGACAAATGCACCAAATCTCACTCTGAATGGAGAGAGTTTTGAAAAAGACATTTTAGTCATAATTTGGGCCAATGAAATACAGACATTTTTACATCCACATTTGCACTGTAATGTGTAGGGTAGAATTGTATTGTAACCATTCCATGTAATTTGACACAATCTGCAATTATATGTTTTTTTTGTTTTGTTTTTTCAATATGAAAATTTAATGATTTGTTACTCAAATAGCCTGTAGGAATTTCTCTGCAGATATTTGATATACGATGCTCCTACTTTATATTTAACCAAATGTTTATGCTCATTGCCTTCTAATTATTGATGTCCTGACTACACATTTCCCCCTTGAGGCTGGTACTCTGATATACAAGGCTCTGCCAGAGGGGAAGACTCCTGGTGTGTTATCCATGACTTATAGCTAATTTGACTCCCTGAGATAGCCCTCTTTTCTCTGCCAATGGCTTTCTACACAACAAACACTCAAACACAAGTATCATCTTTCACCCCGGAGAATAGAGCACACACACAAAGTCTGAATGTGGCCACAGACAGTTGAAACGTTTTCATTGCTGACAACACAGGGAAATATAACACCCACTGCTGCATGTCGTAACAAACCATTTTTGTACTGGCACCCTTTTGAAACATGATGAGATGTTTGGATCTATCAACACATTTAGTCAATTTGGTTGGACCAGGGTGTAAAATGTGCAGATTATCTTTCTCCAGAACTTTAAAAAATAAAATATGATCACTGACAACACCTGGTCTTTAGAGCTGTTTAGAAAAATATTAATGTGTTAATATATTAAGAATTATATTTTCACTGTTTCTGTATAAATTGTACTTATTTTTGTTTGTCTTTTCTTTAATAATCATATTTGAAAAGCTGGTTTACATGGTTTACATCAGCACCCAGATGTAATACATATACATACATGAATGTATTGTAGTAATGCAGAATAAAGCGTGTGGTGTTATCAGTGCAGTTTGTTGACTGTAACCTGCCTGAGCTGTGGTTTACAGAACACGATCCTCTGGCAGCGCTGACGACCAGGTGCTGAAAGCACTGTTTATGTCATACACTGATCTGGAGACATTCCTTTGTACAGATTTATGAGGATCATTAGCTTTGTTTTTAATACAGAGAAAAAGTCTACTCTAATCTGAAGCTGATCTTGGCTCGAGGTGTCTCCCTTCATCCTCCTTCAGCCACATCAATCGCACCATCCCTGCACAGGAAGACTGTACACCTGATTACAGAGCCGATTGCAGATAAACACTTTCATTTTGGCAGTAATAACTTGGAGTGCTCACTTTTCACCATCTTTTGATGACTCAAAGTAAAGGAACTAGTTTGAGGGCATTTTTCAGTGCAGGAAATGTCACAGTGAGAAGCTGTGGCGGGCTAAGCCGTCCACACTCCATGTCCCTCTGGATAGGAGCATATCTTGGACACTCTCTCCTCCAGTAGTTTTGTCTTGTATGTTGCTATCTGCACTGGCTGCAGAGCAGAGGGGCCGTGCCAGGCGAGGGTCCATAGGGACCGTTGGAATCACTGGGGCTGGAGGAAGTTGGTCCTGGTCCAGTGGGGCGATCTGGGCTTGGTGACAAGCCAAGCTGTCTACTGCAGGGACGCTGGGAAAATGTAAATAAGAGCCTGATAAGGGCTATTGTTTTCATTCCATTCTCATCCCAGCTGAATGGCCGACTCCCAGCCACAGAGCATTTTATCTCCAGAGGGGAGGCAAAGAAATGTGAACAAGGAGGCTCAAGGAGATTTAGGGGCCCCCAATGAAAAATAAAAATAAACTAATTTGGTTTCTACTATTTCTTTCTTTGCGATGACCTCGAGTAATGACACAAGAACAGAACATTTCATTGGCTAGAAGTTACAAATATTGAACACAACTTAATTTCATTTTTAAATCTCTCTTTTTCTGACTCATTACTTATGTATTACAGTGTACACACTTATTTCCCTTTTGTTCAAAGCCATTTTTGGTTGTGCTTTGTCCACCAGCTCCAACAGTGGAAGGTGCGAGTTATTTCATGGAGTAATCCAGGTCATTATTCACCTCTCCCAGGTGGACGGCAGGGAGGACAGCACTGCATTCCAGCTGTAGTGTGTGCCGGTGAGGACTTGGCAGTTCGTGTCTGGCCCGTGCAGGGATGGAGAAGTGAGGGAGCTGGAGCATAGGGGGAGGACTGGAGGAGAATGGAAGCTGGCACCACATTATCTCCAAATGTTGGTGCATTCCTTAATGATCAAGTGCCGGAGGAGCATCTGTGTTGAAACTGTGTGTGAGACGGAGCATATGTGTCCTTATTAACATATGCTGTCTGTGTTTCTTTAATTCCCCTTTATGCCTCTGTAAATAGGCCTTTTTGGGGGTTTGAAGGCAAAACAACTATGTCTACTTGCATTATGATTCAAAGGGATTTTGCTGTCCGGGGAGAGGATACAACCTCACCCGGGGCTGAGGGAGGCTAAGCTGTGCTGTGCTCCCTTGGACATAACCCTTTTGAAGAATCTTGTGCCACGTAGGGAGTTAACACACACAAACAACGCACTGCCTTTTCTCTCCCCTCTCTTTGGGTCAAGGGGACAAACTGTGAGATGGGAATTGGAAAGTCAATAAAGCAGAAGCAATGTTATAATGACCCTGGACTCTAGATGTCCTGTCGACCCCCATCACTTTGGAGGAAGAGGACAATCAAACAAAATGGTCACTGCTTGATCTATCTGAAAGCCATCCCTAAAACAGGCCACGTCAACTCCTAACTGGTCTTACCCCCAGTTCATAACAAGAGAGTTTTTTATCTGAACATCCACATTATCTTTGATTGTAAAAAAAAAAAAAAGTCTTATAAAATGTCTTAATATTGTGATCACTAAATGTGTGTATGGAAAGCATCGCTTTTTCTCAAACGCCGGGTTAATTTCAGAGTGCAGTGGCTGGAGCAGGGTGTCTGTGTCTGGATGGGAACAAGCTGACCCCTCCGCTGCACTGGGATGGTGGAGGCTGGGTCAGCAGGCCCACTGTGTTCTTTATCAGCTGCCCAAGCGACAGCGTGGCAGATTACAGCCATTCCTCCTCTGATTCATTGTCTGCTGAACAAATGTTAATTGTTTTCATCATTGGCAGCTATGTGAATGTTCGGACATACCAAGTCTCACTCCTTAATGTGTATCTCTGCCCTTACACTATCCCACAATGCCTCACTCCACCCTCGGCTTATCTCAGCTGTCAGAATGACTCTCATTTTGCTGTGCAACATCCTGTCATCACAAATATTCTATTTGAGCACCTCCATGACCCAGGTCCACTGGTATTTTTCATTCAAATGAACATACCTTAAAGAATGTCAAAATAAGAAAAAAAAAAAAAACACACACACACACACACTTGTGAGCTATTTCATTTAATCAATCTTTTTTGTCCTTTTCAGAATCGTCATGCATGGAGAAACTTCTTTCTAAAGACTGGAAGGAAAAGATGGAACGACTCAACACAAGTGAGCTTCTGGCAGAAGTCAAAGGTAGGAAACAATGATTGCACTAAATATGTGGCTTTAAAGGAATTTTTTCAGCATGTTGACCAGTACTGTCTAGTACTAAATCATCTCAGACACTGCTTTGCAGTTCAAATAAAAAGCTGCAACTTACTCTGGAGCTCTGCTGAGTTGGCGAGTGTTTTTTGTTGTTCCTTTTGGTAGCGGTGCAGTGGGCCTCTTGGGGCAGTGTATACATGTTGTTTTGGTAATTGTTCAGTCCAAATTGTGTTTGAGTTCAGTCCAAAGGGAGAGAGTGGCTCAGCGTCTTCTCCTCTATGAACCAGCATGAATCAAAATCTTTCCTCTGACAGGAAACGCCTTATGCTGCGTATTAAGTAAACGGCAACAGCACTCCCTCAGAATGTGTTTAAGTCTGGCTGAAGGTGGGCCACGGGTGGGCAGGGCTCCTCGGACCTCAGCACCGAGTGTTACTGAGAACATCCATGTTTATACAACCCAGCACAATACCAGCTGTCTGATAACACTGGCACTCAGGCTCTCTCCCTGTTGTACTGTTCATCAGATAACACAAGTCTGTTTTTATATCTGAATCACCAAATACCACAATTCTCCAAAGTAAAAGTATTACATGAGAAATTATTTCTGACTCGTGCCAACTTTAGTTTTTAAGAGAAGCACTCATGTTAACATGTTAACACATTTTACTGATTTAAGTATTTTTTTTACATCGTGTTCACTTTTGCAGACATCTGCTTTGCTTTTAGCTTTTTCATCTGAGGTGATAAAAATGTGTTCTGTTTTAAATTTATATATTTTTAAAAAGGTTAAAAGATTAATAATATTATTTTTGTGAAGTATATATTGTAGTTTACTAAATCATAGTGATTGTACCTGCCCACAGTCTTTCCTGTGACAGATCAAAGTGCAGTGGGTGAAATGTTTAAAATGATTTGGCCTTTTGAATACCACACTGTTAAATTAGAGGCAAGGCATTTTTAGTGTTTGATGAATAGGACTGGGAAGGTTACTTGGTGGTCTGTAAACAGGTAGGGAGTCTGATAATACACTATGGCCAGTCTGTGTTATGGAGACAGCCAATACACCACAGTTACCGATATATAAATGTATCTCCTATCACAGTGGCACCCTCAGATTTTTAATTAGCATGCCATTTCATATGACTGTAGATATTTCAAAGGGCTGCTTTGTGCTCCCCCTTACAAATGTCTCTCTCTCTGCGTTTGATGTCTGCCTGATGTAAATGTGGGCAATTAAAAAGAAGCCCAGGGTCGGAGATGCACAAGGTCTGCCTAATTAAAACACAAACAAAGGTACCAAGCAAAAAGCACCTCATGATTAAGATCTAAAGTGTTATGATGAATGCAAGGCTCCATTTATTGTTAGGTTCAAATTGGCACAAAAGGCTAACATTCCACTATCTCCAAACTAAAGAAAGAAGACAAGCTGTCATAAAAGCTATAGTACAGTAATCTCACATTGTAAAGTAAATCTATCTTTTAACATTTAGTCAAGCTCTTGGTAGTTGTGGTTTAACAGGTGATGGGATTTGGTTGGCACAGGATGGATTATATGTATTAATAATATTTTATGGGTCTTAAAGCACAAAAAGGCCCTAAACAATAGAAATGACAGGTTTGACCCGAGGCTTAAACCATAAAAAGAAAAACATTCTTTTACTGCAGTTGTGTTGGAACCTGCCCTGAATGCTGCAGCGGTGAACAAGTTCAAAGAATAAACAAACAAAAGAATACAATGCTATCGTCAACATCAGACTTATAGGGTCTGCTTGTCCTACATTTACCTTTACAAATTCTACAAGTATGCATCATTGTAGCTTTAAAGCGTAAGAAAGAAATCTAAACTTTTGGACTAAACATAAGGCTTAAGTAATAGACAAAGTTGCGCGAGTTATGCAGGATAGTGTTGTTTACGGTTGATGATTTGAGATCCCGCACTGAGCCTTTCGTACAGCATAAGAAAGGGCTTAGCATCAGCCGGGCCAGTGGAGTTTGAGAAGGAGCATTAGTGACGGATTTCTTTTCACCAGTCGATTCAGAGGTAACTGTTTGTTTTCATACCTGATCTTAGCTGTCAATCTGCAGGCATGATGTGGGGGAGATGAAATCTCCTGAACAAAACCACAGCACGGTGAGGCAGTCCGTTGGAAAGGCTCCAAACCACAGAGACTTTGAGATAATAGGAGGAAGGAGGAGCAGCAGACAGCTCAAAGAGTGCTGGAAAGAAATATTAGATGTGTGTATTTAGACTTGACCATTTATAATAATATACCCGGCACTGCAGCAGACATTACACAGTTTAACACATTTGTAGGGCATATATCATCTTACTGTGAATGCCCTGTATGTATGTAAACACGCATTGTGTCACATACTGTATACTGTTCATATGAAGATAAGGTTTGTTTATGCTGCTCTCTGCGTGCAGGGTCTCAGTCTCATACTCCACAGATCTGTTTGAGTTTCCCTGCTGAGTGCCAGTTCCCCGGCCCGCTGTTGGGGGCCACGGCGGGTGAAAATGCACAAGCATTTACTTAAACTGAAGGAAAATATGTTGTTTCTAAATCAGAACACAAGCTGTATTCATTCTAATGGAAAAGAGAAAAAGCTTAACATTGTACATTGGCATTGAAAAGGCAGTTTGAATTCTGAAGCGCAGAAATCAGGGCTGTGGAGTGTCACAATCGATTAGAGGATGGAGACTACATGACAGTGTTGAGGGCACACACACAGCTCTGTCGCGGGCAGATAAGTGCAAGCCCTTTAGGAGGACCGTACAGCAGAGGGCAGCGGCTCAGGCCTGATTTGATGCTAGCTCTACCTGTGCTGGCTTAAGCTCCAGCAGCAAGAACTCATCTGAAGACACAATAGTTCACTTTCACAACAGCCTTATTCTCAAGTGGGACATCACAGTAAATAATCTAATAATGTCTGCATGAAAGCAAAACCCCAACATACATTTTTGCACCATGAAATAAGCCTGTATTTTTCCATCTCTACATCTGAATATTATTCTATATAATATTTACCAAAACACACAAAGCATGTACTCACAACTGGCACAAAACAGCATCTGTCCTGTTGCAGCCGTCCAAAATGCCACAGTTTGCATTTTCTCCATAACACTTCAGTCAACTGTTTGCCCTGTGCACTCAGGTGAAATATGAGCCACAGTAAATCATTATTCCTCAGGCCACATTTGCCAGATGAATGTATGAGAGTGTTGGACTGTGTGTTTTTCTCCTCTAATGAATTGAGGAATTTAGCTTGTGGCAATAGAGGTAAAAAGGAAGTGCTGTTCTCCTGTGTGAGCCCAAGTAAGGATCGGCATTTTATGTGTCTTTGAATATACATCACAGGTTTGCTATAGTGTAACTGGTCATTTACTGTAACTTCATTTTCACTTCATTTATTTATTTATTTTTACATAATTTTGTTAATTTATAGTGTACAATGGATTTCTGCTATTGCCATAATATAATAACATTTTAATTATGATTTATTTATTGTTTGGTCAGTGTATAACTCATTGCAGGCTGTATACATTAGATTCAGTATGATGCCCTTAAAATAACACATATTCAGTACAGTGAAAGCCATTATTTGCTTTTAATAAAAAGAAATAACACTGAATAAAAATGAAAACAAAAATCTGTTGGATGAAAAAAAGATCATCTTATTTTTTTCTGCAATATTGACCACCCATATCTAAGATGCTACAAAGTGACCATTTGGATATCTTCATTTGTTACACACACAGTTAAGTTCTTTTGTGTCAGTACTGAAGTGAGAGGTAACCTGTGGTATGACAAAGGCAATATAAAATGTAAAAAACACTGCTGATCTTTGCTCAGATCTCATGAGTATAACCTTGTAAGCATCTTGAGTAATATAAAGGCTTTATTAAAATACTTGCCCTTGTAGGTCTAGCTCTAATCGTTTTTCCTCTGTATTTGGAATACACAGAGAACTGCAAAAAATGTCATGTATTGTCAGCTTCATAAAGCCTTCAAGACATCATTTTCACACAGGCCAAGGAAAAGAACTTCCAACTTTAATTATTGGCTGAATGTTTTAAAACCAATAAAGAAATGAACTGTGAAAAGAATAGACAAGAACCACATTAAAACCCAAGTTTAATTGTATGCTTTCCTGAATGATTTTATTTTCCTTCGACTACTGTCTCAGAAGCTTTTGAGTGCTTTGTGAGTGCGGGCCTTGAAAAGTCTATACGCTTTTCTGAGTTGAGGGCAGAGGGGTCAGACTCTCTATTATAAAACACAACAAAAGATGAATCATTACTTTTTCAAAATATTGTTTGCATAAAATAGTTTGATGTGACACTTGCACGCAGAGCAATTAAGATGTGCTAAGATGTCTGGGTCTTTGTACTGTTTTGTACATTCACAGAAAGGTGCAAGCAGTGTTGTTAGGCTTTCCCTTTTTCTGTATTTTTACGGTAGCAATTCATTTTTTTTATTTATTTTTTTTTATCTTTCCTTAAGTACCTGTCCAGTGTCATGGATAGACATTAAAGTCTTGCATCTCCCACATTATCATAATTAAAGTGAAGAGTGAATCTTCTGCCATCATGAAAATATTAGACTATCTCCATTTGGCATGAACAGCACAACTACACTAGACGAGGGGTCCTTTATTAAGAGCCCCTCCATATGCCAATCATAAAAGTGTGAAACCCATTTAAACCAAAATGATATTCCGTGGCTATAAGTGTCTTCATGCATTAAAATATGTTGATGAATGCATGAAAAACTAAATTTACTAATAAGATCGCGTATATAGTGGATTGCGGCACAAGGTTCCTAAAAGTAAATTAAATGGAGCCTATTCTGGGGTCCTGACAGGTATTCCATAACAAGGTAATAGGTTTCAGGGCATGAATTGGCTTATAGTGTGCTGCCATGTTGTATTGGAGGGGTAAGGGATTAGGGGGCGCAGCTGCCAGTCTGACATGCACTTGTGAGGCACTGCTTATGCTTACTGTTGGAGTTTTATTGGCAAGATTAACAGCGTTTTATATCGGGGCAGAGGCAGCCGGCCAGGTAAAACAGCTGTTGCTCATATTGTCTGGGTTGTAGGACAAGGAGACATGTTAACACTGTATTATGGGACACACATATGGAGGAGTGAGTGAGTAGTTGTATGTGGTTAAAAGCTAGTAGATAGTGCTGTTATTGTAGCTTGATGTCCTGCCAGGGCATTGACGTTGTGGCTTTATGTGACCTGGGTACAACATCTGTTTTTATTTGATTTTATGAATGTAACTTTAGCACAAACATCTCTTTGTACATTTTTTCCTGGAGAACGGTTTAAGAAAAAAGGTCTTTGGGTTAAAAGTTGTCAAAGACTTACAAAGGTGTCAATAGATACCATTAGCGTTCATTCAGTCCGCTTTGTGCTTGTTCCAAAATGGTCGTAGGGTCAAATGAATTGAGAGTTCACACGTGTTACTCAGAAACATGTATTTTATTGATCGAAACAGCGTGATACACACTACATCTGTACAAAATCCTGTCTACATACATTTTTTGAAGGGAGTAGCAAGTGCCTTAGCATCTCAGGCATTTAAGCTATGTATGCGCTGTGTTAGGATACGGCTTGGTACAATCGCAGCATTTAGACAAGTCTTAATTTACTTAGGATGGGCTCAAACCGACCTTGCAAAGACAAAGAAATTCCAGTCTTGAGGCGTTAAAAAACTCAATTCAGATCTGGTCATAATGTCTCAGCTGTCTCAACCGAAAGGACGGAAGAGAATAGGGTGCCTTGTGATTTTCCCCCTTTTTACCCTCACCCTCCCTCACTTTTTTGGTCTTTTTTGTGCCTGAATCTTTTATCTGTGTTATTCACTCGGGACTCTTCAAAGTAACAAGCCTCCTTCTTTTCCCTGGTACTGGACTTGGAACCCAAATTAGAGACTGCTTGATTAGAGCGGAGAGGAGGGAGCCAAGAGAGAGGGAGATGTGGGTATTGGACAGAACAAATCGCGCCCCTACAAAGTGCCTTTTATCCAAAGACCCGAGGCTCAAATGCCCCCATCTCTCCCCAAGCAACCGTGGCTCTGCTTGTTTTCCTCTTATCATTTATTTAGTCACCCGGTGATGTTTGCTGTCCCACTTTATGACGTTTGAAGGAAGTAAAAATCTCTGTAGGTAAATGCTGAATAAGCTGAATGAACTCAACAGCTCCCTGTCTGTTTAAATCTGCTCTCACTCACTTGTGTTGAATAGTCAGAGGCGACCCTCACATGGTGGTGTCACTATGTTACATCTGTACTGGCTGCTGGGGTTATGTAGCGCCAGGGCAGTTGAGAGCTGTCTGTCTGCCATCGGAAACCCAATGCGAGGAGACGCGTTAACAGGCAGACCCCAGCCCCACCACTGTTAAAAGCCATGCAATATGCAGGAAACGGGCTCTTTTGTCAGCACGCTGGTCAGACACAGACCACGACTGCCCTCTTTACCACCACCCAATAAAACTTTTATCTGCATTTTAAAGCTGATCCATAATTTAGAACAGAAAGAAAGAGATTTCTTGCTCTGAAAACATATGAATTTGATTTTGTTCCATAATGCACAATGGAGCTACTACTCAAACACTTCTTTTTGATTGTCAAGGAAATTCTGAAGCATAAGTACTTTCAAATAACCAATTTTTGGTGAGAATAATAAACAAAAATGACAAAAAGCCCAAACAAAAAGGGCAGCTGGGACTTCCCACAGTTCAAGCTCAAAACAATGGCCCCTCTGTTAGCATTCTCTAAGTGTCCAGGCTGAGCTCTCTGCTCTTCAACTGGCTCACCAGAGTCTACAATAAAACTCTTAATTCCCAGTAAATACACCCTAGATAAAACAATTGGAGTTTATTTTACTCTAGTCATTTACAATGAAAGAACAAACATTTTGGCATATGCTTAATCAGAAGTGTAATTAGGCTCTAGGCGAGAATGTACTATTGGTTCCAGATGTTTAGTTCAGCTGTGTGTGGTTTGGATCTGATAGACCCAATCTTTACCTGAAGATTGTTTTCTTTGTGGTCTTTTCCCTCCATTTTCTATTGTGAGTGCCTCTGCTACTGTACTGATAGTAATTTATTGTGACAGTGATTGTTGACTTCTTATGACCTGGAAATAACATGGACACAGCCAAAGGTTAATAAAATCTGTACTGATTGCATCAATTTTACAGATAAGCTATTTACAACAAGTGTAGTTGGCTGAATAAAAAGTCAATTCAGGCCTTGGAATCTACACACAGGCCCCATGAATAGCGTCTTTTAGCCGCTTTTTTCGTTGAGAGTATAAATGGAGAATTGCAGCTCTCTTCCATTGCAGAGAGCCGCGGAGCCGAGTCGAGGTTCAGACAAGCCTGCTGCCAGTAAATTGCTCTGAATGGGTTCTAGAGGTTGACAGGCCCTATTAAGACAAACGGCTTTCCTCATCAGAGAGATAAAATAAATCAGGTGTTTAGTCAAATTAAAATAGTTTGAGTGGAGAGGGCCCCTGGGAGCTCTCGCGGAACACAAGACAGATGTGTCCAGAGACCAGGGGAAGACACCCAGGAAAGACTTGGCCCCTGGTTGGCCCCGCGCCAGTGCACACTCAACTGTTATCAGGACTACTACCATGCTTTTATCCTTTTCTCTGCCTCTGTCCCATTGTCGTTGTTCTCCCCGATCAGCTTGTCACACTGGAGTGGAGTGGGAGGAGAGTGAGTTACTGTCTAGCCTCTCACGGGCAATTATGTTGGCTGTGTAAGTCAATGGTAGGATCACTTAGCATTGATTAGACAGAGAGAGAGAGCGGTGCAGCAGAGTGGCGCACTTGATAACACACACACAGTGCAGACATGTGACTTGGCTCGCACTGGTTAGGCATGCATGCAATACACTCTACTCACTACACACAGTATCATTCAAAACAGACAATAAAATAGTCTTAACCAGTTCTATTGTAAGGAGAAAGGTAATACAGGCAGCTACAGACTGAAACTATAGACAGAAAGAGGCAATAACCATGTGTGAGCCAGGACTTAGCCACTAAAAAAACTGCACTAAATTCATATAGCACCTCAAATGAAACTTTGAAAGACTCCTGCTTACCACTAGAAGCCTGTATAGTAATTTTATTTGAGGCACCTTTCAAGACAGTAAAGGTCACTGTACAGTAATATAAAACACTAAAGACAATAAAACAGTTTGAAAAAGTTAAATACGTCACACATAGTTATGTCTAAATAAGGTTGTACTCAAATCAATTTTTTTCTACTGCATTGGTGACATCACACAAAGTTAGGACCAGAGGCCGCTCATTGGAACAAAGACTCCTGCTATAGTACTTTGATATAAACTGCCAGCTCAGTTTGACAGCGCCCTGCAGCTCTTTGTCCACGGGCTGGGAACAATTCCTTGCCTTTCTCTCCCTGAAAGCTGTGAACACCAGCTACAGTGAAACAGACAACTTCAGGCTGCGTGACCTTAACACTCCAAGTGAGATCACGGCAGTCGCCTGCTGCCCATGTGGGTCTCTTTGTGCTTTACATTGTGAGCGGTACAATAACACAATGTGATGATTGGTATGTGTGCCATGGTTTCTTTCTATATTTAGTCGTACACAATAGCCAAGGCCCTCCACAGACTCCCTCTTGTTGTTTATTTGGTCATAGCTTCTGGGATACTGAAAACCAGGCTTTAAATGTAGGTTTGCTGGAGCAGTGTTTGTCTTGCTGCCTCCTCATGTCTGCTCTGTGTGCGTGCCCAGGTACTCCGGAGAGCCTGGCGGAGAAGGAGCACCAGCTTTCCACTATGATCACGCAGCTCATCAGCCTGAGGGAGCAGCTCCTGGCCGCTCATGACGAGCAGAAGAAACTGGCCGCTTCACAGATGGAGAAACAGAGACAGCAAATGGAGCTAGCCCGCCAGCAGCAAGAACAGGTAACTTCATTTTGTTGTTACATTTCATTTTAGGGGTGTTGAAACTTTTTTTTAATCAAATCTGGACAAATTCTGTGAGTGTTTTCAGTGTTACAAATTGAGCTGTAGAACATTAGTTGTTTAGTCAAGTAATTGGTTGATAATCTGTAGTTTTGGGAGTGAATTTAGTTTTTTGCATACGAATGTGCAATTTAGTTGTACTTTTTGGCATTTTCAGTGCACTTTAGGTCATATATGTGGTTATAATATATGGTTATAGCACAGAGAAATATTTTTGATAGACCCTTTGCTAATGCCTAGCCCCCTTTTCGTCAGCTAATCAATGCACAGAGCAAGTTGATAAAGAATTTCTTTAGTCAGTTATAGCTCTAAATGTCCAACAAGTAAAGTTGTCCAGTGTATTTGTAATTGAACTTTAATTATAGACATTTTGTTAATTATATTATATTCAATAATAAATTTCATGATAACACAAATATAAAATATATCCACTAAATGTACAATGGATCTACAAAAGGCTTCTCATCTGAACGGTGCCATCCTGTGTCCTATTGTGTGTTGTCTATTTTCTTTTTCATTTCTTTAGACATTTCACATAGATCTTTTTAAAGTGGAGACTCTAATTCTGCGGCATGTCTTTATTTGACACTCGCTGCCAATAAAATCTTGCTCTGCACAAGTTATAAGAAATAATATTAGATTTAAGAGTTTCTGCATTACCTCTGATTCTCCTGTCATGCTCTCTCGCCCACATTTATGCTGTGTGGCTGGAAAAGCGTTATTATGACTATGCTAACAAATGCAAGGGAATGTGAGAATTAAACGTTATATTAAACATGGAAGTCCTCTATATCTTATAAATCGACTCCTATTAGAACAAGGCTGGCATTAGATTTGCAGCACAAATCAGGCCAATGAGCCATATTGTACAAATCAGCAAATTAGCGGGGGCCATGAAGTGTGTTAATGTCTGGGAAGAAATAAGGACACAAACTATCTCCACGGGCGACACTTTTATTATCAGCAGCCGCTCTAATGGCTATGAGTCAATTATCAGCAAGGAGTTCACTCAGAGTTTTCCGTGCTCGCTCACACCTTCTCCAGCTAAATGAAAAGATACCCCATCTACCTTGGAGTGATGTATTTGGTCATAGTACACTAATAATACATTAACAGTATTGATTTCTTTTTCAATCAATGATGTACATTTGCAAACTACCCCTCGACTGTGCGTGCTGTGGAGGCATCAACGCAACATAAACGCTGTGATGGCAAACGTTTCATTATTTTCTGCCTGTTTTTGAAAGGGACGAATATTAATAAAACCAAAGTGAGAGTGCTAGCCCGCTGAGAGTCAGAATTTCATCAAGCCATCAAGATACAACGCAGTAATTAACTGTTGACACTCCTGAGGAAGCCGGCACAAATTAATCTTGACACATTTGCAGACGACTGGTATCTTACAGTGAACACTTTGTAATTATATTTAAAAATGAAAATTAAATGACACTTAAAACTGGGTTGTCACGCTCAATGAAGTGGGCATGTAGTAGGAGGGACGGCGGGGATGAGCACAAGTGAAGCTATAGAGATTTAAGTCGCATGCGTCTCACAGCAATGCTTTCTCTGTTTCCCATAGTCATTTTTTACATTGTCACTTATAATTAAGTATATTAGCTTATCACAGACAGTGAAAATATTTTGCTTAAAGTATGTAGAAAAAACTGTGTATTTTAAATTAAATTGTGATGGTAATAATTTGAGGAGTTTGTAAAGCTGTGTTAAGAACATATAAATTAAGAGAATTATATTAGAAAATTGTATCGGTCAGATCTGTAAAGAAAAACTAGAAGATACAGTTGAGAGTATACAGTGTTAGCATATCACAAAGAGAGAAGAAATATTCTGTTTCAACTTTGCATATAACAATCTGTAAATGTGATGATTTTAAAGCTGTATTCAGGCTATATAAATAAAGAATAATTACATTTAAGTAAATATGACAAATATGTACTGATATTTACACTTTTTAATCTAGTTTTTTTCCATGACCAAGTTTTTTGTTTTTTCCATTGTCCAGATTGCAAGACAACAGCAGCAGCTTTTGCAGCAGCAGCACAAAATCAACCTCCTCCAGCAGCAGATCCAGGTCAGTGAGTGTGTTTCTGTAGACTGGTAACATTTCCCCTTTTCTCTTTACCACACACTTTCTCTCTGGTGTAATTAGTGTACACCTACTGTTACTAAGATCAATACAATTAAACTTTAAAGCACTTGCCATTATCAACTTCTGTTCAGGACTGTTCTTCTAATCTTTTCTTTAATTTCATGTCAATCTACCATTCAACACTCATCAAATGTTAATTACCTGTTGGTAATCGCAGGGGCTTTAAAATATGGAGGGGAATAATTAGCACGTCTTAATGAACAAAAAAGGGGGAAAAGTAACAAGAGCTAATGAGTAGTGTTAATGAGGAGGAGCTTGTAGGTGGGGGACATGAAAGAGGCTGGTAAATGCCTCTGGAACACAGCAGTCCCATAAGGCCTACATAGCAGCCTTCACAGTGTACTCTGACATGCTTTTGATTATTTGGCTAGCATTGTTGCTCTCTTAAGTTTTGTTATTAGTGTGCTTGATGCTATACAGAGCCAAAATAAGACCACCCAGGCAGAACATAGCTGGACATGGTCTGATTGTGCACAGTATCGTCGGAGCGGTCACTGGCAGTGGTCAAGGCTGAGGGCTGGATGCCTGAGTGAAGCCCACGTTATCCTGTTGCTGTGCTCCGTGTCAGGCACATCCCTCTCCACTGCCTCCACTCGTTCTACGGAAAACTCCCTTAACAATTGTATTATTTGAATTTTCCTCAAAACTGTTCAACATGTATCCTATAAAACAGTGAGATTAGATAAAGGTGAATTATGATTCCATCAGTAGAATATAAAGTTGCTCAACTGATAAAATATTTCTAACTAAACATTAAGTAAGTGCATTGTTCACACTTTTATGTAGTGTGAAATATGAGAATATGAAAAACTAATAAATTAAAAATCATTTACAATGGGGACATTTTAAAACAAATGTCATGTTACTTTAAAGTATGGCCTGCTGTGTAAAACGTAGATCTTAATCTGTAACAGATTGATTTAGTCTGTGCGTTTGTGTCTGCTAGAGAGGGGAGCACTAATCCTTATTTAGGGCCCTTCTGACCATCAAAGTCTGTCTGTTGTGGCTGGAGGGAGAAAAGCCCATGTTTAAGAGCCTATGGCCTCATGCGAGGGCAGCTAACTGGTGATGTTACTGTGGACATCAGTGGTCACTGTCCAAACAGTAAAAGTCTGTAAAACTATTGGGGGTGGAATTTGAGACTCTTGTTGCCCAGGTAATGTCTTATGAGGTGTTCAGAGGAGAGGCTTCAAAAGAAAGGTGATTGTTAAAATGTGTGTAAAGGGGAAATTGCAGTTTAATTAAGTTCCTCTACTGAGATCCAGCCTTCATTTATCCTCCCCATCACTCTCACAAGAAAGAGAGATTTACTCTTTGTCCTCCCGGATTACAATGTCACTTGTTTTAAGATAGCAGATGTTTTGATTGCAGTGGTGGGCGCTTATCAAAGCCTAAAGCTTTGTGTGTTTCTGTTCAGCTTGTTTTTGTTTGTTCAGTCCATCTTTGAAATGGTCTTGGCACCTGTTCAATCCCAGAATGAGATTAAGTTTTAAATTATTTGAATTTTTGAAAGGCCTCTCTGAGAATGCCACAGTTAAGCATAGTTATTAACCACAATGCTTGGGGCTTGTCTTTATTGAAACCTATAGGATATTTAGATCATAGCTATGGTTCCTTACAGGGGAATCCAGAGTCCTATAGTATCTTCACAGGGACCTCCACATGGAGACTCACATCAAGAGAATAAATATTGGCTGAAAGGTCATGGTGAACTTTATCTTCACAAACAGCTGGAGAACGCAGTGCTGCCAAGATGAAACAGAGGAACAATTTTATTTGATATTTATTATTACAATATCATTAAACAGTTCTTTATCGAGAGCTGTGGCATTGATGTGTCACCTCTGCGTACATTAAGAACCAAGTGGTGATAGATGACAACTTTCTGTGGAGGCCATTGTTAAGCAGTTTCTCGGTATATGCACAACCTTGACTGTTATTCTATTTAGTTTTTTCTCATCAAAAGCAGTGTTTCCCTTTTCCCTTCATTTCTCTCTGTGTGTGATCAGATTTTTGTTAGTTTTTATTTTATTCATAATTACAGTTATGAAGTCAAACATTTTACTTACGCTGAAAAGAGGAAACATTTTTTCAACGCCATAAACAAGCAAAAAAACTGAAACTAAAATAAAAATGTAAGTGACATCTCCCTAGTCATCTCTTAACAGTAACCATTGTTTGATTAGTTTTGGAAAATAGTCTCACATTTATTACCCTATGATTCAGTTTCTTGATGTAATAAACAGCACAGAGCAGTATGGTAATTGCACAAAGATAACTGGCCTAATTTGTGTGTTCTCTGATGCTTTTGTTGTTTCCCCGGCACAAATGATTTTCACAGTATGAGCCTCTTATTAACGCACTGGCTCAAAAAGCTCAAAAAGTAGATATTGTTAAAGAGAATGTGTAAGTCCCCTAATTAGCGCAGCTTGATTGGAACTGTTAGCATGATAATAGGAGAATAACAGAGCAGGGATATTGTAATGTGTGTATGTGTGTGTGTGAGTGTGTGTGTGTGTGTGTGTGTGTGCGTGCGCGCGCGTCTGGGGTGATTGTGATTTGCCGCCAGCGCTTCTCTGTGTGTGGAAGCTGTAGCAGGATTATGTGGGGTATTACCAGCCCAGTCAGACGAGGCTTGGCTCCCACCCAGGCAAGCTCGGCCCATTTGAAGAGACTGTTAGCTGATGAAGATGTGCACATGCAAGACCGAAGATAAAAGAAAGCCATGACCTGACTCATTAGCCCCTGTGATTTAATATATTGACACTTGGAACCAAATAATTCAGTTTAGTGGACCTGATTGTTGGGAAGAGAGGGAGGGATCAATTTAATTAGTTATGAAATAAGACCGCTTGTCAAGAGGCAAGGAATAAATGCTGACGTTTAATAAAGTTGTGTATTTAGAACAATAAAGCCGGCATGGACTTAATAAGAAGAGGAGTAATGGACACTACCTCCGCTCAAGTGATTATCTGTAAATTAAGTTAATTGAATTGAGATTTTCTATGCAAATATTGGCCCGGTAAAACAAGTCTTTACAATTTAAATGTAACTTTATTGTTGTTTTTGGATTTTCTTTAGGTTAGAAGGTTTCTGGGTAGACTTTTACTATAGATATATATTTTTGCTTAAAAATCAGCTTTTCTTTTAGTTCTTCATTTTATGTTAACTGCTCTAGTGTGAGACCACATTCTTGACAATCTGACTTTTACTAGTTAAGTTACCTGAAGGCTTTGTAAAACTGTCCTTAAGGAGGATAAATTATGAGGTCAGTTTTGAGCTTTCTCGTCTGCTATGACCTGCAAAGAATAGCACACGACTAAGGATTTTAGCAGATGCAAATCAGTCATTGGATCTCTTCATCTATACCAGTTGTTCCCAACCTTTTTGATCTGTTACCCCGTCACTCATACATGCTCTTCTACAGTTTTCTAAATACTCAAATACTAATATTGTAGCTAGTATTTCCAAAAGTCGTGTCACACAGTATGATTATAATTATTCACATTCCGCTGGAATAGGTGAACACTCATGGGCCCCTGTACCCCTGGTTGGGAAACTCTCCTTTACACAGCTCTGATAGGGGCACATTTTTTAAGCATAACTTGCCCTGTGGTCTGTTGTTGATTTAGTCTCCCCTCCTGTGTGTGTTTTCTCTACTAATGTTCTCGGCAAACTGTTTTGTCTTTACACTTGCCTGGCGCTCTCGTCCTCCACCGCGGTGGGCTGTCTCACTGGGAAACACAGCCACATGAACTGATCCACAGAGCTCAGCAGTCAGCGCACAGGCAGAGGCAGAGGCGTGTGTTTGCTTAGGCCACCACTGGCCACGCACTATTCAGCTCTGGGCCTGCTCAATAAGGCCCGTTTTGTTTTAGCTATGAAAGAGAGTCTAAGCATTTCCCAGGGGATTACACTCAATAAGTGTTTTGTGTAATCACAAATGTTATCATATATATATATTTTTTTTATTGAAACATTATCGCTGTTGAAAAATGCATTTGATCAAAATATATAAAATTTATATAACGACAAGATCACAATATATCGAGCCAGCTTGAAGACTATGCCACAGTCCCCTTCTTTAGCCAGTCGTGCTTATCACACTCACCCATGGCTGATGTTCTTTAGCATTTTGCTCGCCCCCAGTAATGAAGGTCTGAGGCATTTGACTTACCTCTGGTCCTGTTCAGCAGGCATGTGTATGAGTGGGATAATGGTGCAGCACTGTAGGTTTGTGTGTCTACTCCTGTGTCTGTTCATGTACATGTCATGAGAGAGACTTGTTGCTAATTTTGGCAGATTTAAATTCTTTTGCATTCAATGTCATTACAATTTTAAGTTGTAAATACTGTCTTAATTATTTTTATAATGTAGTATTTTTGAAAAAAAAACATTAATTTTACCCAGAATTCCAGAAGTGGTGCTTGGAGGATTGGTCTGTACAGAAGGGTTTTAAGTGAGGCGGGTGAGAGGGCTGGACTGCCCCCACTTTCAAGCTCCCGACTTAATATAGACATATTGGAATGGCTCATTTCCAAGGAGGCTTGTTTTACTGTGTAAGGAATTAGTGGAACAAGAAGTCATCTATTGGTTAGTCCCTAAGGAATAACCCGACTCCTGTGTCTACTTTTACTGCCTTTTCTATAAAGCCTTTTGTCAAAGTTAATGCTTAAGGGAGCCATACAAAACTATTATCAATATTATTTTCAACTCAGTTCAACACTTGACATTGAAGTTTGTACAAATGTGTTGGCATGTTCAATGATATATAAATCTCAATCTTTACAATAAAGATGTCATTACATATTAGCCTTATGCTTGTGAGATAATATGCCGGAAATCCAACTCTGTGGATGTATTTGTCATTTGACTTGTGATGTGAACTTATAACAAAGGGCTTACTCATTATCTTCAATATAGTATCTATACATCAAAAGAATATTAATCATATAGATGAAATTATTAAATGCCCTTAAAGAAAATCACAGTGTCTTTGATGTCTAGCTATAAAGTAATGTCATCCAAGTTTATGTGCAGAGAAAAAGGGAGGTCAGAAACAGTTCACACAAGTACCTGTTTGTGGGTGACCTGCCCCTCTCCATTGTCTGTGCCCTCCTTGTTTAAGCACTGTTACCTCGCTGTAGCAGACTGTGAGGAAGAATAGAGCTGGATGCTTCAGTCTAGTGGGTGGTAATATAAAGACCTTCATTTAGAGCCACAAGTCTGGAGCATCAAAGTCTGCTTTAAATCTATTGATCTACTCGTCTGATTACCATTAACCACAGACAGATCCATACCGCATCACACTGCTGTGGGATCAAAGTGGAACTGGGCCATATGATGTGCTGCTGTCTGGCTGCACCTTAGTGTAACTAGACTATTGAGAGTAATAATAAGGTATGTGTCTTTGTGAAATTTACGAGTGGGTTGGTGTGGTATTCAGCAGGATTCTGTGAGTGCCCATGTGTAGTTGTTGAATTTTATTAATACCTAAATACAGACTTTGTTAAACGTGATAGGTCTATGATTAGTAATCATATGTATGTATTTTATTGCTACCCACCTTCACCTTTTAACAGTGTGGTGGCAAATATAATTTAGCTGTAATTTCTTTCAAATTCATTAAAAGGTGATTCCGGTTGCAGCAGTTTAATGGAGTGAGGAAAACTATGTGAAGTATCAAATCCTAGAGCAACAGCTGGAGCCTTCTCTCATGGTGTGATGTGAAGAAAAAAAAAAGTTCTACGTGAAAATGAAAGTTATTGCAAGCTGCACATCTTACAGCTATAGTACTGTGTAAATGTGTGTATTTTTTTTTGTTAAAAGATTAGTTGAGCATAATTCTTATATGTTAATTGACAAAAAATGGTGCCACAAAGATAAGATGCTTTACAATCGATTGCATAGACTTGCTTTTGCAGTGTATTAAAATGATTTTTGATTGTATCAGTGACAAGCAGCTGTGAGAGGTGAGAGAAAAGGTGTCAAGAAGCAATTCATGCAGATTATAGGCAGAAAATCATTTTCACATAAATAACACACATCTGTAAAAGAAACAGCTGTTCCTTTTTGTCTGCTTATTGTGTTGCTGTATTGTAGTTGTATTATACTTGCCATTTTTTGCTTTCGAAGAGGTGCCAGCAGGGGTCCCGAGGCCTCCTGGGAGCTCTGTAGAGGCTCCAACAGTGATGAGCAGGGTGTTGACAGAAGAACTGCTCAGAGCTATGCACATCTTTAGACTATTTGTGTGTGTGTGTGTGTCCCTGCTGCTTATACGAGTTACAGTACAGGATCAGAGGTACATGTGATGGAATAGTTAAACAAGTGTGATTTTTGTAGATCCTATTATGTAAAAAATACACAATGTATTTAGTCCAACTGTTTGCAAGTTAAACAGATTGCTGGCTGGCCTACTACAGGCTTCATCAGGCCGTATGAACTGATGATACATGTTGTAAAGATGCCGAGTTCCCCGGAAACCTCTGTTGGTCCGTGTGCTGTGGAGCAGGGGCCAGGGCCAAGTCTGTCTGACTGATCACTACAGATGCTCCTCTTCAAGTATTCTGAGTCAGATTCTGAGCTCCGGGTCTTGAGGGACAAACAATAGCACCTGTTCCTCATAAGATCGCCCATTCATGTATCTTTAATGAAGCTTGCGGGCAGATGGTGTGAAATGACATTATCCAGTACTTAGCAATGCTAAGACAAAGGCAGAGCAGTGCCAGCGCCACAATGCGGCTGTATTTACGAGAGGAAGGAAGGACTCTGGCTCACATCTGCTCCACTTCACTCTCCGAGTCCGGCGCTGCAATAGAAACATCCTTGGCACTTGGCCTGTATGCAGCCCACTCCAGTTAACTTTTCATTTGCTTATAAAGTTTGTCTAAGTCTTACATGTTCTTCTCCATTCATTCTTTACTTTTTTACTTTTCCATAAATAAATGGAAACTTTCTAAATCTGTTTCGTTTTATTCAATCTTTTACAAATGATCAAATATACAGGTCCACTCTGAGCTAAATGTAAGCACTGATACTTTCGTTAGAATAAACATTTTCCCTATAAATTTGTTGGCAATCCTGATTAATTAAAATGTTATAATTAATTGCACCACTTTACAAATCAGAAGCCATTTAATTTAAATATTAATACATAATTACAGTAGGCTATAAACATATTTTTGGACAATTTAATGTATTTTATTTATGTTTATATGGATTTGTAAAGCCAGCAAACAACCATTTTTCAACAAGGGACATGGAAGTAAGTATTTTAGTGACAGAAAGGCAGTAAAACCTGTACAAATATTTGTAGTGGCATTTTGTTGCTAAATAATGACTATTCTTTACAGGCATATTTCTCTTACTGTGTTATTAACTGCTGGTGCGTGATACTTAGCCGCACACTGCTAACACACTGCTCTGCCCCGTGACTGCCACACATTCAGCTGCAGACTCCATCTGGTTTTACAGTCCAAATACACAGACAGAGAAACGCTGTGTTCCCCTGTGTCCCCCCGCCTGTCACCGGCCCTACCTCATGTTGTGACATTAATTATTGTGTTTTTCCATATGTTCCATACATGCAAGGCCAAGAACCATCTTTCATCCTTTCAACTGGGCAACATGGAGCCCAAATCCATAAAGCAATGTTTTATTTAAAGTCATTTGTTGTAGATTCTCTGAGCTTTTTCTTTTTTAGAGGATAAGCACTTATAGCAACATTACTACACACATTTTCTATTCTTCTACAATGCACTTTCTGCACTTCCCTAAAGGCTCAGTAGACATAAATGTTTTAGTTTTTGGTTGAGCTTTGCACCTCTTGACAGATCAATAAAGTAGTTTTGAGTAGCATTCTTGCTGTCGTAGAAGTGGGGTTCACCTGATATGGAGAGGGTAGACAGGGGGGCGGGAGATGGTAGCAGACCTCAGCCGGAGCAGTGTGGGGGTGGAGCAGATTTGTGCAGGTTGATTTCATGCCCCAATGCAGCAGCAGTAATTGCACCCAGACCTTTTTTATTGCAAGTTGATTTTAAAGAGGGATGAATGAGGAGACATTCTGTAAAGTGTTTATTTTGGGGGATGACCTTTATTAACCCATTTTCCAGACTGGTTCCCTCGAGGTGGCCTGGCCCGGTGCTAGATTAACCCTTGCAGGCCCTGCTCCTCATCACTGACTTTCAGGAAGCAGGCAATGACAGTATGATTGGCCAGCGCAACATGTGTGCAAATGGCACTTTTAAAAATGTGAGCCACCGTTGAACTCATGGCAGAGGCTTTGCACTGATATTCCCAGTAGACCGCTAGTCAGCAACAGGCAACATGGTGAAGGTTAATCTGTGAGTGGAAGAGACAGAGAATGACATCCAAATGAAATACAGCGGGCTATGAGCAGTCTCTCCTGCATCTCTCCTGCTGAAAATAGCTTCAGTAAATGACTACATTGTCTTTAGGCTTTATCACCTGTATAAGTGATCTTTGTGATTATGTGAGCTGGTGAACTTTCCCCGAGGTGACTGTGCATGCATGTACATGATAATCGGCCCTGTAGCTGCACCTGTGTAATGCATTCAGCAATCCTCTGCTGACATGTCGTATTGAGTTTAACAGCCAGGCCAAATGCCTTCGTAAGTGCCCCACTCCTCAATAGGAGCCAGAGCCTCATCGCTCCTCTGTCCTCTGTCCTGCATGTCATTTTATTTAACCTAACTGTAACAATGTGTGTATGCTGAGCCTTTGATGTGTCCAGGTAAAATTGTGGCTCAGATGAAGGTATTGTGTGAGCACACGAGGGCCGTCAGTGGCACAGAGCCCCTGTCAACACGCGTTAGACAGAGCTGTGATCTGGCCTCCCCCTGAGATGCCTCTGTTTCTGTGTACCGTGCCCATGCTTAGGCCTCTCTCTGATCTCTGCTCCTATCTGTTCAGCAGGTCCAGGGTCACATGCCTCCACTCATGATCCCCATTTTTCCACACGACCAACGCACTCTGGCAGCAGCAGCCGCTGCCCAGCAAGGCTTTCTCTTCCCTCCAGGAATGTCTTATAAGCCAGGTATGTTCTCACATCTACTCCTGATTTACATCTGTCTTTTAAGTGGAGTATAATGAGCTGTAAAAAGTTGATTAAGGCCTAACAGTGGCATGCAATGCTCAATTTGCACTTGAACCTGAGGCATAGGCATAGCAGCTCCCCCATTCATGCACAACAATAGGTGTAGGCAAACCTTGATAGGAATGTAAACTATTCTACATGAAACTATCTTTTAGGTTATTTCTGATCACATTACTAAACCGTGGATGTGCAGCCTCATGACACGCAATGCAGTCTTATTTAATAGAGAAATTATATAATCAAAGCATAAATTATAATGGTAAAAACAGACTTAGTTTTTGGACTGCTTTTACTTCATGTACCAACATGTTTCTCCTTTGTATTTTCAGTTAAGAATGCCTCATCAAATGCCTGCCATTTTAAAATGTACCACACATATTTTTCCTGTATTACTGTGTCTACATAACACACAAACATATATTTTACACACATTTTTTTCTAACGGCTTGCACCTAAAAAATTTTCCATTCTTCAGAATTTTCAAGTTTTTTTTTTTTATCCTGTATTGTTACCTGTGATAGTGTGAAAACTGGCAAGTTGTCAGCAAGGAAAAACACAAAGAAGTCAACATGCTTACAGCAAAATATGAAAAGGAGTGGTTGAGCAGTTAATGAATTAACTATAAAACCACACAGTGAAAAAAATAAAGTCAGCTCTTTTGGAATTGTGGAGGCATGACAGCTTAAACAAAGTGCCTGAGGGGGAGTCTTTTACCAGTGCGCTTTATGAAATAGGATTGACACGAAAAATGTTTTAGTTCAAATAACAGGAGCTATTATGGAATCATGGTCAGGGGTCGTCCTGTGTACGCCTTGTGCATTATTCATGAGCTCACAAAGAAATAGCAGAAGGGGTCTGAAAATGACTCTTCACACAAGGTATTCACTAGACCTCGGCCATGTAACACAATAAACAGACCACAATGTTATCGCCGCCTGCCGAGTGAACAATAAGCTGCTGCGTATTTCTTCATGAAGTGAGTGGCCAAGCATTCACTTCCAAGACTAATACACTCTAATCTGATGTTATCATTATGACACAGCTCCCAGGGACCACTTCTTTAGGCAGTGGCCCTGTGGCGTTCACATGGAAACCGTCATTCCTGCACCGTAGTGTTAAGTCATCAGGCCGTCCACCGTCTGTGCTCAATGGCCTGGTGTTGCATGGTAGACAAGCACAGCCATAGAAACAGCTCCTCATCTTTTAAACAAATAGACATGCAATGGACTTCCTAGTCTGTTTACTCAGAATGAGGGCCAAATGGAAGCAGTAAGACTGATGTACCTCCAACATCCACTATCCACTGTAGACATATAGTTACTTATAATGTTTATTTTGCATTTGCTGTGTATACATAGAATGGTTTGTTTGTTATTGTTAAAAAAGCCAGTTAAAAATACACTGTAAATTCAAAACCAAGCATCTGACAAGATCAAGTGTGGGAATTGTAGTCAGGGAGGACATTCATCTTCACTTGATCTGTTCCAGGAAAGGTCACTGGTACATCTGTCAACTCTCAAGAAATATATGACTTATGTTTCATGGCATCACATGAGCAGAACTGTAACTTGTGGTGGCTCATCTAAACTCACTTGTGTTCCCTCAATAGGAAAACAACATATAACATTTTCTGATCTATGTTATAATGTTGTTTCCTCATCAAAAATATACCTAGAATCATGTTTTGTTTCATTTACACATGTTTAAGACACAAACCCTGCTTATTTAGGCTGAGTTCTTCTCTCAAACAGAAAACACTCTGGTCCACTTTGTGACGTCATGTGGTAATACAAGAAGTGCTGTGTGTTTTTAAAGCCCATACACCTTCACTGCAATTATTTGAATAATTTCAGCCCTGGAATTTTTGGTCTCTATTGAACAAAAGGTAAAAGAAGTTGTTAATTAGAAAACTACCGCTACATGACATCACAAGGTGTACCAGAGCATTTTGAGTTTTGAAGATATAGCCAGATTAATAATAAAAGATTACTCAGACATGTGTGAATGAAACAAAACACACATCTGAGTATGTTTTTGAGGAGGTAACAACATTATAACATGGTTTAAAGCTCATAACAGTCAAATTTGCGTGATGTTGGACCTTTAACTATAGGTCCAACAGCTAAATTGGCCTGTTGCCTGTTCTCCAGAAGTTGCACCCTATCTTGAAGTGCAAGACCCCCAGCACTGAGGGCGCGCTCACTTAGCACATGACCCTTCATGGTTTCACATAACATCTAAAGACACCCAGCCATTTATTACCATTCTCCATCACAGACAGAGACAGAAGGAAAGTGATACCAAAAAGAGGTGGCGTAGAAATAACCACAGTGCATACAGGCCAGCACTATTTGAAACCAGCACTCCTGTGTGATTTTATTTGCTACTAAATGGGGATTGAATTTCCATGGCTTGTATCACATTGTGCTGTGCTGTACAAGATTGTAAAGAGAGGCAAGCAGGCGAGGGCAAAGTGAAAGAGAAGGTATATACATTTAGCCTGTCTTGGGCTTAATGGCTCCATATGTTTGTGAAGAGAAGTGACAGGCAGAAGTGGGGTGTGTGCGTGGGCCAAGTCCCCCTCCCTCCCCACCCCACAGACACATGTACCCGTCTAGGGCTGCCCCGTCCGTCTCCACACACTGGCCCGAGTGTGTGAAAGCTTCTGGTAGTCAGTTAAACACCCCTGTGAATATCACTCACACAGCAGCCATTTTTATACTCCTGTCTGACAAATGTGCTGATGGCAGGCCAACAGTAGTGAATTGTAATGAATAGCACAGCTATTTAGAGACTATTTTTTCTTGCTTGATCATAGTGATATGGGAGCTGATAGGCCTACGGTTTCACTCCTTTCCTCTTGTTATTGTGAGTGCACACTTGTTGTAACTAGTTTTACCCACAAGTGTTTTCAATCTGCTGCCAAAATCTCACTCAGGGACAATGTCATGTTGAACAATAGCCAGGAGAGTCAAGGTTTATGAGAGAACACAGTGCTCATTTTATGTAATGACATTTTGAATACAACAGACTTGTTACAACTGCTGAGCGATTAAAATACATGTTTATAGTACAGTCAACATGTATAGGCCAATAGTGCTTTAAGTTGCGTGTAATCCTTCTCCAGACAGACCTGCTCAGTCTTTTGTTAGTGCAGATGTGGGATGTCTCGTGGTGCTGTGCCACTGTGCTGCACTTTGGACAGCCTGCGATCCATGTTGGCACTTGTCTTGTGGCTGTGGGCTGGCTCATTGTCTGAACCTGTAAGCATTGTTGTTCCTCTTTTTGACAGGTGATAACTACCCCGTGCAGTTCATTCCATCCACAATGGCAGCTGCAGCAGCGTCAGGACTCAGCCCCCTCCAGCTTCAGGTATGTACAGTACGATGACAAAGAATGTAAGGGACGCCCGCCAAGCCCAGGGCAGAGAGAGGGCTAAGCAGCTGTACGCTAAGTAATGAGCCGCACACTAAATAATCCAGGAGCCCTCAGCGCACACACGCTTATCACCACACATATGTAATTTATCCCATTTTATAGAGGATTTAGCCCCACTTGCACCAACAGACAGAGCTGGGAAGATAATAGTTATTAGAGGTAATGGGAATCACTTTGGTTGCCTTAATCACTTGCCAGCACATTTATCAGAACACACTTTTCTATGTAAGCTAACAATCGCAGCCTCTTTGTTTCTCATTTTACTTCAGTAGAAGCATTTAATTTTTTTTTACAGTTTGGTTTAAATTCTTGTATTAAAAGTTCTGCCATAAAACTAAGGTATGGGTGTGGTTAAAACTGTATGTTTTAAAGCAGGTTGAAATATGCTTTAAGCCCTACAGGCTCCTCCAAGACTATTCTCACATGCAATTAAAAAAGCTGAACTCAGGTCAAGGCATAACCCAAGGCCATACTCTTTAATAAAGTTATTTATCAGATTTTTTTTTTTTTTATGAACTATTATTCAAAATGACTGCTAGTGCCTAGACTCATGTATATGTGTTAGATTTGTCCTAAATAACTGCAACTTTCTTCTTCAATTTTCAGTTGGAATCTGAATTAAATGTCTTTTTCTGTTTCCCCATTGGACATTACGTATGAAAATAGATTAAAGATCAACAACATGTCTCAGATCTGTGGCTGGAGTTCATTACTGCTTTGTCAACAAACTGAAAAGTCAGTGAACATTTGAACAACAACAATAACAGTGCTTGAGAGAGAAAAACAGCTCTCAGTGATGTATGTGGCATTTGTCCTTCCCACTGTCAGTGTTAACAAGCCTTGACAAGTTGTAACAATGCATGCAGCTGGCTGTGTTGTTCTGCAGACATGAGAGGAGCTATCAGAAGCTTGCAAGGTGTTCAATGAGTTTTCTCAAGCAGTTTTTCTACCTAAGTATATCTGAATTCATTTTAGATTTGCAGCAGTTCAGGACATGCACACCAAGTCTATTTTAGTGCATGAGGTCAGATAAGACAGTCATATATCTAAAGGTTGGGGTGAGGAGGGGAAGACGGGTTGGAATGATTAATTCTGATTATGTATCTAACCCTGGGAATGGGCAAAAACAGTGCATCCAGGACCATGACTCTGCTGACCTTTCAAAAGAACACAGTCAACAAAAAGAGGTGCATTTCCACATTAATTGAAGTCTGTCATCTTGTCACATTTCTGCATGCTGCCTGCTATTTACCCTGCATAGAGAGTCCCCTTAAAACAGCAAGGCAAGTCAAACATGCCCTTTTCTACACAAACCATGGGGCTGCCACCACTTCCTCTACAAAGCACAGGGAGACCGTCATGATTAAAAACAGCGTATCAGCCAAGACTGGAATTAAACTTAGACTTGTCTCCTCCCTCTAGAGCAATAATAGCACCTGAACCCTCCATTTGCATCAAATGATTGAGAGGTGTATCGCGTTGAAGGACGAGGGTTCTTTTTAAATCAGGGATTATAAAGTGTGCTCACAGTGTTATATGAATTAAGACATCTCTGGTGGTATTGTGGCTTAACTGGTCATGATAACTGTCCTCTATAAAATTATTAGATCAGTGGATGTTTATATTGAGTATTTTAAGTATTTTGCTCAATGCTTAATCACACAAAATCCAGTTCTAACCTCTTAAACTTTTTCAGTTTCAGAGTTTAGTGATATCTCTTCTCCCTTACACACACACACAGAGAAATTGTCTCATACATATGACCAGCCACCCTAATTAAAATATCTCCTGTCAGTGTGATGGCAAGGTATAATTTCCATCGATTTACTCAGTTTAGATTGTGCAATATATGAACCTTAAAATAACCTTGTTGGAAGAACTAATTCCCACAATGCAGCCAAGGTAATGTGATCAGCCATCCAGTCAGAGAGGCTAGCAGCTCTGTCAGTCCTAATGTCGACCACATAGCCCCTTCACAATTTCTCTGTCTAAGGCCCTCCCCTCTTTCTCTTCAAGAGAAGAAAAACCAACAAGGTAACAAAGGCCTGAAGCTGATGGATGTAAATGAATTCTCACGGATGCGTTTCAGTGCCGGAGACTGTAATTTGCTTGTCAATACAGGGTGGTAGCATCACTCCACTGGCTGGCAGTCAGCAAGTGGCTGTCACCAGGCATTGCTGTACCACAGGGCAATTTCACTCAATGTTTTCCTGACAGATTGGCTCTCATTCTCAACTCACAGGAGAGGAGGCGCGTAAACTATCCCAGCGCGACATGCCCCTCTTCATTAGTGCCCACACTGAGCTGGGATGAGGCCAGGGCCAGCAGGAAACAATGGCTGCATCCTGGCCTGTCCTTCCCTGATTACAAGTGACACCTCTCACCTAACACAGGAAATTGTGCTCAGATTGTTCCACAATTTATGTAGACAACTACAACAGGCTATTGGCCGATAACACAAGCAGAGCACATTCTTAATTTCACAAAGGCATCTGTTTGTGCTGGTTGTAAAAATATAAAATAAAAAAGTTACACTCTGCCTGTATGTATGTCAATATGGACAAGTGTTGAATTCTGTTTCCTTTCTAAATATCAGTATTTAAAAATTTACAATAATTGAAACATTGTACTACATTATGAGAAACACCTAAACTTTATCCTAAGCAGATACATGTGAATGCCTTTTACTCCCCTTGACGACCAAAGTGAATAGGTTGTTTGAACGTGTAGGAAAAGCTGTGTAGTACAGATGTGTAAATCCCGTCATTAATATGTGAGTAAGTTGTGACTTTGAAAGAGAAAGACAGAGCGACAGGAGGAGGGAAGAAAAGGTAGAACAGACGAACTGTAGAGAGCAGCTGTTTCTGTGTTTACGAGCAGAGGAGTCCGGTCTTTGAAGGTAACCCAGTGCAGAGCAGCCTCACTCGTGGTGCGTGGAAGCCTGGCTAATAGGACGGCTAGGTGAGCAGCTGTGAGGAGGCAGTGGTGAACAGAGGGACAGATGGACAGATAGAGTGGATAATGCAGTAAGCAGCATTGAATGGGAGTGCCGGCTCCTGAGTCCCAGGCCCCCAAGATCCCAGGCACTCACACACATCACGGCCTGCATTTGTGTCTGTAAATGAGAGCACGTAGAAAGGAAGTGCAAGAGAAGGATTCAACTATTTAAAAGAGGGGAAACATTGTGGAGCCTGAGGACGGGGGAGGGGTAGCAGCAGACCAGGTTGGTTGCCAGCAGATGAGACAGATGTTGGGCCATACTGGAAAGCTTCGGCACACTGCACCAGGACGCCTTCCTCCAATCCTGACATCTGGGCCTCGCCTGGGTCAGCCTGCCTAGTCGCCCTGGGCAATGAGCCTGTACAAGCCTTGTGGCAAACGGGGCTGGCGCATGGGCGGCTTCTTAAATGGTGTGGTGCAGCGAAGCACAATTAATGCCCTCATATTCAGCTCAGTGCCCCACACTCGGGCCAAAGAGAGGTGAATGAGACACTGACAGACTCAAGATTTATGTTGTAAAAAATCTTAAATATAATCTACATAAATATATACATCTAAATCTACTAAAATCTATCTATCTATCTATCTATATCTATATCTATATATCTATATCTATATCTATATATATATATATATATATATATATATATATATATATATATATATATATATATATATATATATATATATATATATATATATATATATATATATGTACACACACATACATACATACATACATACATACATACATACATACATACACACATATATATATATATAAAATATTTTAATACATGTTTTATAGTTGTATTTCCAGTAGGGCCCACACTCTTGATACGTCTATCATAATCATTTCACTATGAATGGATTTCAGTCAAATGTCTTTTGGTTTAACCTCAGCTGCCTTCAGAGGGCTTGTTTTTAATTAGCAGAGGCTAACACAGTGACCTTGGATGTGCTGCTTTCACTCAGATCCATGCTTCCTGAAAACTGCTCTGTCCTACTGGGACACAGGAGATGGTTAGGGCCAGACAGACTGAGGCTTTTTGGTTGTAAATTTTTTATTTTTTTTTGTAAATACTGTGTATTGTGTTAAAACACACACAAAGTAAATTTTATTAAAAAAAAGTTTTTAAAAATAGCAAATCTCTTCCTCAAATCACAAAACGTTCTGTATATTAAAAAGTGAACTTTTTTGCTGCCCCCACCTGGCAAGACTACAGTACAAGGTCTTTGTATGAAGCCAACAGCAGCTGTCTGCTTAAGGAGGCCATATTATCCCCAGCCTTTGGCTGTGTAATCCCACTTATATTTATACATCCTGTGTTGTTTTGTGATCTTGTTTGCCAGTGTTGGTATACAGTTCCACTCCCGTGTCATTTGTGCGACTTGGTTTGAATCTTAGACCACATAAAAAAGTTTGAGTTCACCACCAGAAAGGGTTTTTGTGTGTCCTTGGGCAATGTGTTACAGGTTAAGACACCTTTCATCAGTCTTCCCTCTGATTATATTTATTGTTCTTTAGCTCTGGAGGCAGTCTGTTCCTTGTTACAAGGGTAACCATTCCCTCTCACCCCATGGCACTGACCTGCTAATCAGTGGTGAAAAGGGGCATCCTGGCTGCCTCTAATTTGAGGTAAAGTCTAATTATGCTCTTTTTCCGGGACAATAAAGTTCTTCCCACTCAAGGTCAGGGCCATGCTTGTCGACAGTGTGTTAGCAAACATCTGTACAACAGACTGGGGCCAGACAGTGACAAACAGGTCTGCAGACTTCCTCTGTCTTTGTCAGTGGTGTCTTTAAAAGACACACACAGTTAACTGCTCACATTAACTAACTCAGGCTCAGATTAGAGGAAAATGAAGTTGGTGTGCTCCTGTGTGGAGTCCATCACTGACAAAAGAGTGTTTGTGAGGTAGGTGGGGGCAGCACTATCATTTGGGAACATAATCAGTTTGTCATTTCCTCTGCCTATGTGCTGTTGTTATCCTCATGTTTTCTGAAAGAATAGGGCCTTTGTACTGCCCCATGTGGCCTTGATACTGTTACTTGCAGGATCAAATATATACATCTTTATCTTCAGAAATGTGCTTGAAATAGTCAGTGTCAGTGAAGGCTACAATAAATGAATACAAAATAAATAAGTCATTGTCAGCTATCACTAGCTGGTAATACCACACACATTGGAAATAGTATTATGACATTCCTTATCATTAATGTCAGAGTATTCAGTACAGATGTTACACATTGGTCTTCAGATGTTTGAGGTACAATTATTTTTGCCTGACAGTTTGCTCAACCGCTAGTCTATAAATGTCTGATGAACTCTGACCATGTTACTGAGTTCATGCCAGTGAAAATATCAATGCTTCCACGGGTGTGCTGGTTGCAGGTTTGTGAGCCTTAATAATGCTTGTGTGTAACATGCTCTGTGATGGCCGTCCAGCTGAGGTTAGGTTTTCATTGTGGACGGTCTCAGATGACTGTGTGGAGACAAATCACAGGCCAGACACTTCAAGGGGAAGCTGTGTCGATCTGGAGAAACAAGAGATCTTTGCTAACACACTTGCATCCAGTCGACAAACTTTTCTCTGTGATGAGTGGAAAATAGGGGCTCCAAGTATTTTGAATGAATGCCATGTCTGTGCGGTTTTTAATACTGCTGTCTCTCTGGGTTCAGCCTTTGAAATACAGTTAAGACCTTTGATGGAGGTTCTCTGCCAGCCTCATGGAAAGAGAGGAGCGACGTGAAAGAGAGAACAGCAGATGAAGGCCCACACTCAGTTCTAGAGAGGGGAAAAACAGAATATAAAACTCAGAATGTTTGCTGGATTTGGACGTTAACGCCTGGGTTTCTCTACCTCCCTACAGCAACTGTATGCTGCCCAGCTTGCCAACATGCAGGTCTCTCCTGGAGCCAAGATGCCTCCACTCCCCCAGGCTCTCAATGCTAGTGGGCCCATCTCCCCCTCCTCTCTGAAGAACGACAAGAGCTCCTCCAGCCCCATCACTCAAGTCAAGGTACTATTATTCCCTTCAGCTTTTTTATAGGGCAGGCCTTGATCGCTGCTTGGCCAGTTCTAGCTTTTAACTGATAACAAGTGATACAGTATGCTAATGTTTTTCTGTTTTACACAATAATACATTTTATTTTATATAGCACTTTTCAGGATAATTCTTTTTTTTTTTTTCTCAATACAGAATCTCCATCTGTCTTGTTAGATTGCCTTTGGATTCAATGTTTGCATTTCTGCTACAATTACAAGGCCCTAGGGATTTTTTTTTTTTGCCATATGTTTCCCAAAGAAGTAGAACTATATAATACAATTAATTAATATCTTTACTTCAGAAATTTCACAGATGTTTATTTATATTCCATGTTAAATATGAATATATTCATAATATTCATTAGTGTATCATATTTAGTATTCAGCCTATACAATAATTATTAAGTTAGTTTGTAATTCATTTTGTAGACAATTTCTTAACCCAGATGCTGTTAAAATGTCTTTTCCATGACAGGTAAAAGAATAAAACACACAATGATTTACCCTTTTAATAATATAAATGAGTGTACAAGTTAATGAAGTAGATAATGTCACTCAGCGTCAGACGTATTGAAACAGCTGTCTTTGATCATTGGCGCGCCTGTTATCTGGTCATTATTTATTCTTGGAGGCAGAGTGCAGACAGTAGAGGCAGGGTGGAGGAGAGAGAGCAGATGAAGATGTACAGAAAGACAGAATCAGCTTTAATTAGTGTGAACAAAGGAGCTGGGCAACTGTGAGGAAGATCACAGCGGTGCAGCCCCTGTCAGAGGATGGATGGTGGAGGAAAATACCAGGCCTAGATGTTACTTCTCACCAAACACAAACTTGGATTCAGACTAGTCTATGAAAAAGTTGTTCACAATGAAGTTTATTTTAATTCAACTTAATTTCTTTCTCTATATCAGCTATTTTATTAATAGCACTTAGTTTACAATAAAGAAAAAAAAATCGTATAAATTACTCTAATAAAAATTGTGCCAAATCAATATGCGAATTACCAGGGAAACATGAGATTTATGATGTTTGGGAAACTTGGATTTTTTCAAAAACATGGGAGGAGAGCACCTTGTTCACTTCTGTTTTCTCTCATTCATATCTCTGCTGCTGCCACAGGAGGAAGGAACACAGCCGCTAAACCTGTCGGCCCGGCCAAAGACCACAGAGCTGGTCAAGTCCCCCACATCCCCGACACAAAACCTGTTTCCCGGCAGTAAACCCAGCCCCAACAGCCTGCTGGGTAAAGGAGGCATCCCCAGTCCTCTCGGGGGAGGCATGGGCAGAGCTTCGTCTCTAGGTGAGATAGATATTATATAATTGTAGAATGGTTCACATTATACTAGGGATACTCAGGAATATTTATTCATATTTTTCTGTGGAAGTGTGAAATTATATTAAATTATGTATTGACTCTAATTCTTGAAAAATACAACTCTGTGTGTTAGTGCAGCCTCTACAGTGGGAACATCAGAATATCAGAATCAAACCATTTTTCGCAAAATTAAATTTCACTAAATTCACAAACTAAGAATGTGTTTTGGCGATAGCTTGCAACATAAAATTATGCTTAATAATGGTTAAATATTTTTACAAGATATAATATTATAATAGATACAAATATACAGCATGGACTGAACAACAGTCAAAGCGAGAATTACTCATCAGATAATGTGTTGTTCCGTTTAACAGTATACAGATATTCAGGATTTATCATTTTAAGATGACTTTATTGTCACTGAATTAAGAAAGTGACAGAATATGTATCTTGTGCTTATTCTTGTGCAGATATCCTCTCTAGTCTAAACTCCACAGCATTGTTTGGGGACCAGGACACAGTGATGAAGGCCATCCAGGAAGCTCGAAAGATGAGAGAGCAGATCCAGAGGGAGCAGCTGCAGCATCACCAGCAGGGCATGGAGGCAAAGCTGTCTGCCCTCACCTCAGTGGGCCTCAACAACTGCAGAGACAAGGTTAGCACTTCTTAGCATTGTGATTAAGATACACACAGGAAATATACTACACCAACTGAACAAAAATCATGCTCCTTGAAAGTAGTCAGGAGTGTATCAAAAAGTGGAACAGAGATACGCGGATTATTCTTAAAACCAATATCTCTTCTTTAATCCTAGTCCAGGGTGGTCACATTGATAGGCACTGGCATTGAAGTGTATAAATGTGTGTTTATTCAAATGAGCCATGTTTAAGTGCGTGGAGAGGCTGGGTGTTGTTGATGCTGTTGTGAGGGTCGGGACAGGCCATGGCAGTGCCCGGTGTGGCCCAACAACTCTCTGAAGTCTCTGCCCAATTAAAGCAGCCTCACAGTCCTGTCCGTCCCCTGACACGGGATGGGGCTGCTTTGTACCAGGAGCACACACTCCCAGGGATTCCCTTTAAAAATATCTTCAATCGATGAGTCAATCAAGGAGAGAAAAAAGCTGTCCTCCTCGCTTCAGCTTGATGCCATGTTGCCAGTTGGCTGTGAGGAACAGGCAGGAACTGGGAGCGATGCTCATTAATATTTGAGTACCTGACACTTTCAACCAACAGCCTCAACTAGGTCAATATATATGTAAAAAAGTGAATCAACATCTATTTTGATTTCTCTTTAATTTGGTGCTTGCAAGTAATAACTACCTACTATATGTAGGTGGCTATTAGCTGTGCAAAGTCACTGGAAAAATATATAGACACTTAATATTTAAATTTTTTATTTTTAGGATTTACAATTTAAAAATCTTGGATAAAATATTAATATTACCCAATAATCACTAAGTTCTAAATGCTTTTTTTTTTTTTTTTTTTTTTTTTTTACGCTTATCTAATCTTCACAATACAAGCATTACTTCTGTTGTCTTCGTGAACCTCTTGTGATGATATAAATACATTTATAAATGTAAGCATTTATAGCAGACTCAAATAATTAAAACCCTAATAGAATTGTGTTTTATGATGATAGTAATTTGTATGTCTTGTTGAATGACACCTTAACGAAGCCTTACACCTTGTGACGCCGGACTCAGAGGCTGGTGCAAATCATGGTGAGATATTGTCACCTTTTCGTTTCAGTGACATTGGCTCTATTAGGACGGTGTGAAATTAGAGGCACGCTTTATCAAGTCAGCTAAAAGAATTGCCCCATCATCTTCATCCTTTCGGCCGCAATAAAGAACAGTGGGTTGTAATTCAGCGGTGAAACGAGGGGAGGAGAGAGAGCCTTTTGCTGATACAAGCCAAGGGACTAGAACGGTTTGAATGCCCCGGATAAAAGCTTTCACTTTGGTCAGTTTCAGAATATTAATATTTCACGAAAGCGCCTCACCTGACATAAATATGGTGTGGTCTTTAATAGCTCCCCTCCCAGTCTCTTGTTTGGAAGTTTATCATAGTGAGAGCTTATATGAAGAAGATTCTGGAAAGGTAACATAAATGGGATTAAGGAGAGGTTAAGATCATCCAGTGTGGCTGTTAGAGGGGATATTAAATATTGATTTATCCCAGTGTAATGACCGGCAAGAGAAGTGGGTCTAAGTGCTGCTTACAGATGGATCAATTCATCTTTTTGTACAAAGTGTATTTGAGCACTACAATGCTTTCATTACTGGCCTTTATCAGTAGCATTTCTGCCTGCTCTCGCTCTGGGGCCAGTAACCGAAGAAAGAGCCTAGAGCCCAGATCGGACTTGAACCAGGAAGAATGTCAAATATTTATACGTCATAGATATTTTCTCTTGTTTGTCTGTTTTTACTGTATCCCATCCGTACAATAAAACCTCTTACAGCCCTGTGCAATTTACTTTTTTAAAATATTAATATAAAGGCATTATTGTCTACGGAGGGCAATTACTTTGTTTCATTATTTACCATGCTCCCATCATCCAGTGGAGGCTTTTACCTAGCACATACCAGCCTTCAGTCAAATACACTGCATCTGTATTTATTTATAACCATTTGAATTGTTTCCTTTTATTATTCTGTTTGCTATATGGGCTTTTTAGGGTCAGGGATATGGCACATATATACAGTATATCTGTATTTTTACACAGGAATCTACATTAAACCATGTGGCTGTTATGTGCTTTTAAGCATCTGTGGATATACATCTTATCAAAAACAATTAGTATTGTGCACAAAATATTGTGCATCAAATATAGTTACAAGCTGCTGTAGGCTTGTCCAGGTGAGAAACAGCTGCTTGTCATCATATACACAGTTGAGTCTATTTGACCCTGTTAGAGACAATAAATGTGTAATTGTCTATAAACTGTAAAATGGAAATTGCCCATGAACAGCAGCTCACTTGTGCTATTTTGAACAGACATAAGCCTGATTTCTTCTGATACAGAAAACTGTGGACTCTGCAGAATATTCTTCTTAAACTTGGATGTACTTCACTTCTGTCCCTGTTTCAGAGCCGTGCATGCCCTTGTGGCTCACAGATAAAATATCCCTGTGCTGACATGTCCCTAACTGGAATCAAAAGGTGAAAGGCCAGTGTATTAACCTATTGAACTGCCCCTTTCTGCCCTACAACATCTCCTCTTCTCAGTATTGACCACCACAATTGTCCTTTCCTCATAGCCAACAGCACAGCCTGTAAATATTCAAATAGAGCTTACACTGGTGCAGCCTCCTAACCTACTGGCTCTAGTGGTTGTACTGCTCACTTATGTGTGTGCTTAGTGTGTGTGCTGCCAGGGTCCCATTCAAGCAAAGCTTCACAAAGACTTTGAATATAATCTTGTCTGGTCTGCAGCCCTGGAAGCAATTTTCTGCGCCTTTTCGACTGCTGTCTTGGAAATTGCAAACCAAGGCGTTTTGGCTGCAAAGTAAATCCTTGGCATACATGGGTTTGCCCATCCAAATTAGATTATGCTCAGACCCAGACACTGACTGCGGCCAGCAAGAGCTATTGTGAAGATTGCTACCATTAATGTTTTGTCCATTTGTCATCACTCATTTATAAATAAAAACAAAAGATAGTTCCATCATGTGTTTACTTGTTGTGCACCATCCCAGTTCAAGTCATTCGCTCTGTCCCAGAAGAAGCTCTCCATCATGGCTGTTCATTTGACAGTGTCTTCGCCATTATTTTCTGCAATTGTCTGTTAACACAGAGTTTCTGGCCTGCTGTTGTTGCTCATAATACCACTGGCCAGGATGGCTCAAACCTGTGATGCCATGCTGACCACAAAGCTCACACAACAAAAGGCAGCCTTACAGAGCAGTTCTATCTATGCTACTGTGGCAGTGAGCCCATAATAGCTTGCTGGAGCCTTTGTCCACATGCGAAAGAGCTTGTGGTAATGTTGCACTTTCTGATCCTGCTGTTTGCATCCTGGAGAGACTGATAAGCCATGAGATTTAACTCAACTTAAGATTTCTTTGAGGGCCCAGTGGACAGTTCTGGATCATTGAGGATTGGAAAGTACATGATCCCAATGCAAATGGGCCCAGTAGGACAGAAGAGCACATCAGAGAAGAAAAATCCTTCCTTTATTCCAACAGTCTAATTTATACAAGGGTTGAGTCCAGAGAGGACAAAACCATATCCTTGAAACGATCACAATAAACCAACTATTTTAGTAGATTTCACTTGTTGTACCTATTATTTTTTTCTGTTGAATTATTTGATGAAAACAAACAATAAACTGTTGTTTGGCACAAAGCCCAGACCAGGGTTAGCTCACCAGTCTTTCCATAGTTTAATTGAATTAAAGATCTTTCTTCTTCGTGTTTTAAACAAATGAGGTGATGCCCTGGCAGTACAAATGGTTCCACAATATCCAACCATCTTTGCTCTATGTGATATTGGAAATGACTGCTACTGAAGTAGTGCCAGCCTTTTGTGGCTGCTACTGTTGATTCTGCTCCATGCATTAGCCTTAGCAAAGCAAGAGCACTGAAAAAAGGGAGCAAGTTTGCATTAAAGGAACTGTGGGTTCACCGCATGGCTGGATATACTTAACTTTTAAATGGTTCAAAACTAAAACAAAAACTACAGAAACACCATAGAATTATAAATAACATTGCAACTGATCAAAATAGAAATACAAAACAGATGAGGCGTTGAGTTTTGAGTAGCCATGTTAAGTGCACCCTTTGTGCACAGGGGGTGGGCACATGGCTGAGGGGTTCAGTCTGAGAGAGTCTTCACTTGAGGACCACGACCACAGTGATGACTGACACTCGATACACAAAGAACTGCATTGTGGTCAAAGGCACAGGGCCTTACTCCACTTTCCACATACCAGGTGTGTGATACAGCCACCACCAGGACATCACATATCAGAGTCCGTTTGGGTTTTCAGATGAAAAGTAGATGATGAAAACAATACAATAACACACTGGTAAATTCGTCTCAGTATTATTAAAGGTACTGTACCTTTCCTTCAAAAACATGATTAAATCACTTCATTATGATCTTTTTTTTTTTTTAAACCTAAGAACTGCTGATACAATATATCTTTTCTGGCCCAGGACAAATTTTACATTATTAGGGTGCATTAAAAAATAACAATCAAATGGTATTTTTAGAAACTAGAGATATTTCTGTCATCATCAAAGTTTTTAACCTTTTTAACAATCACAGGAAAGTACCCCGCCTGGAGGTATTTCCAAAGGAGAATGAAGTGAGTGTACTGGCTGTGTACTGTTTAAATATAGGGCAGGAGTAGGCACAATGCATAGAGCCATCCGCCACCCGCCTTTTGCCCAGAATACGCCCTGTGGGCACAGCAGCGGGCCTCCGGCACATGTTCTGTGGCCGCTAGATTAAAGCTCTCTGTACTGCTCCAACAGGGACTCTTTGGGGCTCCATCACACAAGAAGATCCACGCACTGTCTCAGCTCTTCCTCCCCCCATTACTGACTTAACTGTACAGCCCTGTGCAGCTAGACTAAAGTCCATCCATTACCCAAACTTGAAAGACAAAAGACCGCACAGGCAGGGCAGATGAAATTATTGTGGGTGGCAGTTTTCCACTACAGCTTGGAGTGTGCTGCTATAATTTTAGTTGTGGCGTAGGGAGCTGCATGCTGAAGTCATTTGAGGGAGGTACCAGTCTGTTGCCAGGAGTCGTGGTTAAAGTAGGAGGGGAATAATGTCCACATCTTTTGTTTCCTATATCTTTATCTTATTACACTATGCTTTTCTCTTGTCCTCTTCATACATTAGAACCATTATGTGCTTTATTTGCTTTCAGCATTGAACAGTGTTCATCTTCAGTTATATTTATGCTCTCAGAATTCATTCAATTTTCTTGGATCATGTTACAATAAACTCTTGTGTGCTCTGCTCCTCTGCGCCTGGCAGGATAGCCAATTTCCCTAGATACGCCGTGTCCTTTGCTACCCCTGTGTGCCAGAGTGATCAGTAAAAATTTAATGACACTATAAAATAATAAAAGTACCATTAATTTATCACAGTACTTGATGCGTTGGCTGTAAGGAAGCATTAGTTCACTGAATATTTTCATGACTTAAAACAAAACCCTGATGCAGGGCAGATAATTTATTGCTTTAATTTCAGCTATAATTGTAATTCCTGGATATAAATTATCCAACTTATAACCAATAAGTATATTAGACTTAGTATATAAAATTTTATTAAAATTTGTGATGCCATATTGCTTAGCGCATGATGAGATTAGCTAAGTACAGTATTAATTGGCATAGCCAACACGATAAAAGTATGATGATGTGTATGTTGGACTTACCAAATAAAAGATATACCATTTCAAACTTTTTGGACAAGAGATCCAGTTTTTTTTTAGTTTTCTGTGGTGCCAGTCCTCACTAATCTTGCGACTTGTGCGATGAAAAGGAAACAGTTGAACCCTAAGCTGGTTATTAATGAAACTCAGTGATGGATGGCCCCTGTTCGTCTTCCTTCTCAGTCCAATGTGATTCTTAATGATCATGAGTTTATAAAAGGACTTGATTGATCAGTGGGGACCAACCAAGCACAGAAGAGGGATGACATGACTACTTTATTACAGATATACAGTGCTCCCTGAATGTCTTCTTCCCTTTACACTGTCCAAGGAGCATGTGAAGCAGCCCCATCGCCCGTGCAGCTAATCACACATCAGTCACTTTGTCATCGTGCTGCTGGCTTCTTTCATTAAGAGCAATAATGTAGCGCGCTGATGAATACAGCGCTGTGTGCACAACCACTGTGTTGGGCTTCTGCACTAAATGTGACACGCAGAGAGGCACCATACTGCATCTTCCCTTTACAAAGTGTCGTCCTGCCCAGCGGGGTCCACCACATATATCATAATTAGAAAACACTTAAGTAAGCAAAGGGCCGTCAGATAGACAGGCTCTAATCACAGGCTACAAGCAGGTAGTGGTTAATTGTATATCAAAATCACTCAACTGGCCATAAATAATGACTGCTTCTTCAAGAATGATGGAAAATTGCAGTGCTTTTCTTTTTGTGTCATGTCTTCTTTAAAAGAATAGTTTTTAATAAAAGCATGATGCAAATTAAATAATGTGAAATGTCTTAAATGGACTTCAACAATCTTGTCTTATCTTGTCATTTCTGAGACAAAAGGATGGGATTAAAAAGTGAAATTTCTTCATAGCATTTTGCCAGTTCATACTAATATTAATAATAGACATCATTCTAAAATAAATATTCCATAAACATATTCCAAAAACATATTCCATATTGTTGATTGATAGTTGCTCTTTGGGGAGAAAGCAAAAAAATCAAAACAGTGTTTTAGAAACAACAATGGTCTAAAAGATTCATGTGCTTTGCTGCTGTGTTCCAGGGCAGTTGTTGTGTCCCAGTAGTACCTGTAGATGTGCTCAGCCTGCGTCTGATAGGCCCACGTACAATGGGAAGTGCCATAGGTCAGCCCAGACACCACATCTTTGGCAAAGATCGAGAGCTCGCCATGGGAGAGAAACAAATGTGTTTTTGAATACTTATAACGGGCCTGTTTTTTCTGTCATCCTGACAGAACTAAGAGTCCAGAGGATTATTTGTATCATACGAGTCAAAGTGTCTATCTGAAGCCTTTAGAGAGGACGACAGCCCCTTGCTAATGCCCTGTGTATTCACCGAGGAAGTAGGTCATTCAACAATGGAGCCAGCAGCAGTCGGCACTCTCCCCTTGCATAATACATTAAGTGTAATGTGCAGCAACTATTCAGTGCCCCCCGAAAGCTGTTATTTTATTCTGTAAATGCACACTGACATGACATTTAATATTGTGACGGAGCGTTGAATGACAGGGTTTCATTGTGTGTCAAGTACAACATGATGCCAAGTTTAATCTGAGCACAAAGCGACATGACAAACGCGAAAACACGGTGTGTTCTCCAAAGCATGAAGTCTGAATAAATGATGGGCGCTGAGCTGTGGGCGCTGTACACTTGAAGGGAGGATGTAAGGAGAAGATTACAGAGGAAAATCTGAGCACTGCAAAGAGGGCCACGGCTCCATTGTGTGTTCAGGATCACAAAGTATCCTTCTGTAAATCTATTTACAGCACCCCTGGCCCTCACTGTCTCTCTGCCTCCTGTCATCCATTATAGCAGCGGCTGAATAGAGAGATGAGAGAGGGAAAAAGCTACATCTAGCTCATGTCAAAAGAGCAGCTCTTCAAAAGAACCTCCATTTATCAAATACACTTTTTTCCTTTCAAAATTTCAGATTCCTGATGGGGTTATTTTTTACAATCCTGCCACAGTAAAACTGTGTGTATCTTTGTTCCTGTACCTGACTGTTTGTATTTCTCCACAGGAAAGGGCACACTTTGAGAGCATTGGGCATCACCTCAGCAAACTGAGTGAGGAGGGGAAAATTGGCCACAGAGTTATTGACCTCACCAGACCAGAGGATCTTGACGGTAAAGACACAATATATATGTTATATTCATGTTTAGTATTCATTTAAAATATTGACTCATCACATGTGAAAGAGCCCCCAGCGTGCTTGTGTATGTTAAACATTGCAGTCATTGTGTAGGCCCGGAGGTTTTCACAGACAGGTGAGTGAAAGACAAGAGTGCCCCAGGACAAAGCTGGCTTTTTTCCAAATTCACCTCCATTGCCACTGGTCTTGTTTGAGGTCCCGGGCACAGGAGTGTACATTTGAGTTGCGCCTATGTGACACTGTCGTTGACTTTTTTGTGACCTTGGATGCTACACAGTAACAAGACATACTTTGGTATTTGTCTGACACAAATATTTGTGTCAGTTTCCATGGTACTTGAGCCAAAGGGAAATGGTTGTTGATGCCTGGAAGAATCATAGTTAATGTAACTTTACATTTCAAAATTCAGTTAATATCAAATTATTACTGTCCTGACAAGTGTTATACTTATACACATGCCTGAGGATGACCGTCATTTAGTAAATAACCAGCATTTAGTAAATAAAGTTATGTTTCCCATAAGTTTCATGGCTGTTCTGTTGCAGCCCTGGTGCACAGTAGCAGTGTCCCAGGAGGAGCTCTCAGTGCCTCCAGAGGATAACTCTGAAACTGGGCGCTGTGTCCTTTTAAATCTATTACTGTTGTCGGCGGAGGTTGGCTCCAGACGCCTCACATCAGTGTTCCCAGTGGGCGAGGGATCAGGGCATGTGGAGGTCAGAGGACAGGAGAGGTCCTCTTCCCAGGGGGAAAGGCTGGGAGCCTGGGTAGCATTCATAACTTAGAACAGTTAGCCATTAGCTTCTTTTCTTTTTTCTTACACCTCAAATCTAGCTGAGCGGCCTCTCTTTGCGCTGTAGCAATAGGGAAACTGCATTTTATGATGTGAACCACAAAGTGTTTACTCTGCTGAGAACATGTTTACTCTTCAATTCCTCACTCAACAAGGCACCATTTGCCAGCATACCTTTACATAAAGAGATGTGTAGTGTTTTCAGACTTACTATTTTATTTGGGTTTATACAATTTACTTCTTGTTTTTTTGTAACTCTGCCACAAATTGCACTATAAACATTACTGGGTAAATGTTTGTAAATTGTGTTTTATTGTTTTTATACATTTAAATTGGCCAGAATCATGACAAACTACCAGCTTAACGTAAAATTCTGTTAAATTCTGTTGGCCAGAAATTAATAGTGTATATAATTAAGCATTTTCACTGAATGCTTCAAGTTCAAACGTTGAATTGCTGAGTTTCCTCTGTAATTCACCACCCGTTTCCTCAAAAAAATAGTTTGGCATTTCCAGAAAAGGAAAATTACTGGGTGTACCTCCCGAGCCTTATGTTGGGTGTGAAAGCCCCATGGTTAGTCGCAGAACAGAGCAGCCACACTGCAGTACAGTGGACTTCTGTAATCACTGCACTACACATACGCCTCAGGGAGCTTAGGCTAATATTTACAAAGAATGCAGGAATCAAACGATGCAGGTTGGTAATCGACCGAAGAGGATAGGATAAGAGCCACACTGGATGACTACAATATCAATCCTATGTATATATTCTTATAAACACTAAAATAGTCATAAAGTTATCATTAAAAACAACAAAACCAGTGCTCTTGAGAAATCTATTTAAAGGATTAATTTAATGCTGATAATATTTTTCTGTATTTACTGCTTTAGATACATTCAACAGCTTACCTCATAGACCTCAGAGCACCCAGACCACTGCCATTTCTATAGGGCACTGTGGTATCACTGACGTGTGTTTGCCCAAACCGCCCCCATCACTGTCGCTCCACTGAGAACAGAGGGCTTGTTGAGAGATGTGTTCAAATGGGAAATAGAATTCATTCTAATTGCCCAGCAAATTTGTGAAGAGTGAGAATCAATTGTTGTTGAGTTGTCTTTCTGATAGGCAGAAAAAGACACTACCAGTCCATTGTTATAAAGAGCAAATCTTTTAATTTTTTTTTCTTGAAACAGAAAGTGAAGTTTTTTGTTTGTTTTTTTTTTGTTTTGGGGGGTTTTTTGAGCGTGGGAAACAGCTAGGGTTTTGACCACCAAGGAGTGCTCCTCGAAAACACATAGATGAGGAGGCAATGAATAATCTCCGACAGTTGAACAGGTCAATACAATTAAATAAAACTCTTTTTTTGAAGTTGTAAAACACAGGTCCCAAATCCCTCACTGACATTGTAAGGCTTGCTTGGAAGTTGTAAAGGATTAAGTTGTACTTTAAGTTAAATGCATACACAAGAGAGGATCAAGTTGAAACAGGTCTGCCGTTTGTTCCCATGTTCCCATGTGCATGTGGCGGCGTGCTAAAGCTCATACGCTTCAGTGGGATCTCAAATAAAAAAGGGGATTGACTTGTAATAATAGGGCTTATATCTCTTGTAATTTGTAATGGTTTAATTAGCGTGCTTTGAGCTGAGCGGAGGCCAGTGCCAGGGCGCTGCTCTCTAGCCTGTCTCTTCAAACACATGAGTCTAGCCTGATCCTGCTCAGGGAGCGGCCCTATTGTCAGCTTAAATGCCTGCAGTCGGAGGTGTTAGCTGTGCTCCTGACACAGAGGGCTGGGCACGTCCATGATTGTTCCTCCTCACGGGCTCTTCCTCTGCAGCAGATTCCTGGGTGACATTCAGTATCTGCCCTGAATAAAGCTCCAGAGCGCAGAGGTAGAAGGGGGTCGAGTCTGAGCCTGCAGCTCACAGGTGTGGGCCTTTCGGGCCCTGCTATGTTCTCTCTTTATTCTTCTCCTTTTGTGCGCTGTATCTCTTACCCCCTCACAGTCTCACACACAATCAGTCATTCTCACATAATTCATGCGCTCATCAGCAGCATTTCCAGGAGAGACAAATTAAAAGGGGATTCTCATATCGCTCTGTCACACTTGAGCTGCAGGCCTCATGAATCACAATAAATTCTATTAAACAGCGCTCCCCTGTGTCACTGCCTCCAGAGCTGCACCCAGGGGCCTGCCCTGTCACTGCTAAACATCTGTGTTTATTTACACAATCACACCGCTAACTAACTGATTCCTAAATGTCCTGTCTCTCTTGGAAAAATGTTACTGTTCATTTGCAAAATGTCAGAGCACTGTTGTAATTTTTAATGAAAAGCCAGAAACAATGTTGCTGTAAATTGCATGCTGCCCTGCATAGGAGGCTTCTGATTAAGCCACATGTAGGCTAGCGTGCAGGTGACAAGATGGCAAAATTATCTGGTAATTCACCCATTCAAATGTCAAATTGAATTTGGTTTTCTCAAAGAATGTCGCACACTAAGGCCCTGATTGTTATTTTTAAATCCAGCCCTAACCCCAGATGGTGACATCTTGTTTGATTTTCTGTGCAGTCTATGCACATCCACCTTTTGCAGAAATGTACATGTTCCGTTCCTCAAACTCAAATGCCATGGCTCATCGGGCTTCCCTCACTGAACGGTCACATGGAGGTTTCGGGCTAACTGTGGATGTGGCACTTGCTGATGGCAGTTGCTTGTTGTGTCCCTCCCAGTGAGAATCTCACCTCTGCCCGTATGCATGCACACAGTATATAAATTGCTGAATCAGTGTCAGTGATAGAGTAATGGCACGGGAGCATCGTAAATTACGGCGAGTGATCCCAGGGCGCAGACACTGGCTGTCGTGTCTGAGTGAGCGCTGCGCTCCTGAGCTAATGAATACCTTCATCTGGCCCCAGCAGTCAGCAGATTGGCCCGTGTTGATGGATACTGTCAGCCCTCCGCCACACCACATTTCATTGCACAATAAACATGGTTGTCAAATCCAAACAAAGTAAAATCAATTCATTCTCTACAGTGAGTGCATGCTAAATGAAATTAACGCGCTGCAGCCTTGATAACAGTAAAAGTACAGTATTATTTTTGGATTCATGTATGCTGAAATACACCATACAGACTGAAATCAAACATGTAATTTAAACTTATATAATGCACCCTTTTATCCTTTTGCATATAGCATTAAGTACTATTACTTCTTTTGATTTTAGACATAAGCTTAGTGTATTGTTAAAATTATAGTCACAGTTATAAATCTAAACTGTGGAACTCATGATTCCCTGTAGGACTTTGAAGTAAAACTTTCATGTGAGAACTTGTGACAGATGCCTCTTTAGGGTATCATAGTCAGATCATTGTTGGCACCTTATTATTTCAAACATTGAGGAAACAGAAAGCCCTTCATATTGACACAGTGATGGTGTCTGAGTGATGCAAACTGCACCTTATTTTGAAAATGTTTGCTCTGCTCTGTTACTCATTAAGAGTTTGAATTTGTTTATCAGCTGAAATAATAATAGAAATCAAACCCCAGGTACCATGTGCCAAGGCTGCAACTGGAATGGTCTAATGAGAAGACTTCACATGTGGATGATGAAATATGCATGAGTCATCCCAAGCTTTCTTTTCCAGATTTGAGATCATTAAAGATGTATCGTGGCATATGGAAGGCTTTTTTGTCTTATTTTTCAAGCCTTGTTTATCAACATGTTTTGTTTGTTTAAATATTCATATTGCTTTTATTTAATTCTTTCACATCTTACGTATAAAAGGAAGCAAATGTGCATGCAAACAGAAATCATTATCAGCCTGATGTACAGTTTAATTCTGAGGGAAACTCTCTCCTCATGCTGATTGTGAATGGCCTGATTGAAAAACAGCACTTTGCACATTCGGCAGACTCTTTTATCCCAGATATGTGCTGGTTTGTTTGTGGGCGCTCCGGTGCAAATAAAAAAATAGAGAGAGGAGAAAGAGAGGGTTAGTATGGCTAAATCAATGACATTTATTCACTTAAAATGCTCCAAATATTCATTGCAACCCAAATGAACTTAACAGTCAACATATTTTGGCATACAAGGTTTAGGTTTGAGATTTCTCCCTTATGTCTTATTGATTCTCTTATTATGTAAAATCCACGTTGTCATTGCCATTAAATTTTCATATAATAAGACTAAAGGAGATTGGCTGGTCATTTCTAAACTGGCTCTTCACTTTTAATGCACATAAGATGCTGATCACTTTTTCCACTCAATGAAACGTGCAGCTCTCAGGGGGTGTATAGTCGGCAGTTGTCTGAAACAATGTTCACGATGGTTCTAATAATGGCAATGATAGTAGATCACAGAGAGGCTGAACAGAGAGACTGAACATGGCCTGTCATTTAATCAATGTCTTGCCTTGCCCTCTCCTCTTGTTCCTGCTCTGGCCATTCCAGGGTCCAAGGAAGTCAATGGCTCTTCAGATAAACCCCAACCCTATTATTGTTGGCCAACAGGAGGAGCTGGACCTACAGAAGCTCGAGTCTTCAGGGAATCCAGAGGCAGAAACAACAATGAGCCTCACATCAAGAGGCCAATGAACGCTTTCATGGTGTGGGCAAAAGATGAACGAAGGAAAATTCTGCAGGCCTTTCCAGACATGCACAACTCCAACATCAGCAAGATCCTAGGTAAGATCAACAACACACACACACACACACACAAGTGATACATGTCTGCTCAGCTTATTAGCTTTAGATCTTTAGAATTTTGAGAGCTAAGACATTGTGGGGATATTTCAATTTTTTACTTTTTATTTGGCTTTTACGACCATGAACACTTTCCTTTATTTACTGGGTTTATTTTTGTCATTTATAATTATTGATTGACTTTTCTGTTTTTACCATCATTTTAAGTCTTTATATTATAATAAACATTTTAATTCCCTTCTTTCATATTTTTATTTGTACATTTGTAAACACATTCCCTGTAATGGAATAGAGCAGCTCCTGCGTGAAGGGCCACTATCAGACAGCGTAGCTCTGCATACAGATGGATTTATAACCTATCACTACCATAAGTGTTTGTCATGAAAAATGACAGAGGCTAAATGGGTCTTGTCCCCTTTGCGTTGGAGTCCATACATCAGCGCTGTTAAAAGTGCTGTCATGCTCTACCTCACGAGACTCTTCACAAAGCTGCACTGTTTTGCATACTGTTTGACATCAGCTCCCACAAACATACACAACATACAAGTTAAATTCACAAATTTTCTATTTATAATACAATTTTGAGTTGTGTTTTGGTTTAATACATTGTGGAATATGTTCTGCAGGTTCTCGATGGAAGTCAATGTCAAACCAAGATAAGCAGCCATACTACGAAGAACAGGCTCGTTTGAGCAAGTTGCACCTAGAGAAGTACCCAAACTACAAGTACAAGCCCAGGCCTAAGAGAACCTGCATTATTGACGGGAAGAAATTGCGCATTGGAGAGTACAAGCAGTTGATGCGTTCACGCCGACAAGAAATGAGACAGTTCTTCACTGTGGGGTAAGGCCTGCTGTCACAAATCCCACATTCTAACCACACGCTGCAAAAGGAACATAAGAAATGCACTAAAAACTTTAGGACATGTTTTAAATTTAGGCTGATGCAACACGACATATCTCTAGGTAAAGTTAAGGTAATTTTTTTCGTCAATGACACAATTTACTAAGTAAGAATAAATTCTCTACCCTGACCACATTGAAGCTGTAATAAAACAGTAAACAATTGTTTGATTTAGTTCATATATCTAAAGTGATAATATAATTATATAAATATAAGTATGCCCCAAGAATTACTTATATTAAATATGTTTATTACAGTTTATATTTTAGACTTGGTCCAAAACTTTTCCCCTTTTTGGACCCTAATTAGCTTTTAACTTTTCTAGAGGGGACTTTAAATTATTTTCCATTTTGCCATAATTATTTTTTTTAGACAATAGTCATGCACAAATGGGGCATGAAGTGGAGCCATTATTATAGGATATAAGCAGTAAGTATAGGCTTACAGAAGCCCGGAGGGCAGCAGTCTGCAGTTTAACACTTGAATTTACTGTGTGTGGTTAGCAGGATAGTCCTTCTCCAGGTGTTCCCATGTCAGTCATAAGCAGCACTGACTGGTGTATCAATCACGAGTGCAGGAGCAGCACTGGTTTTATGTCACCAATAAACGGGCTAGTGTTTCTGAACAACTCAAAACGGGACCTGTCGCAGTTTTTTCCTCTTAAATCCTTTTCACAGAGACACTGGCATCAAGCACCATCGTTCAGCAGTCTCATTTCAAATGCTTTTACAACAGAAAAGAAAATCGCTTTAGATGGACTCACACTTTCACTTAAGTTAAACAATTCTTTCTGTCTTTTAGCAATAGCTGTAGACAGTGAGGCCTTTTGCACAAACAGAGTAACTCATATACTCATATTTGTGGTTAAAGACTACATAGCTAATGATTTTTTTTTTGGTCCCTGCAGACAACCACCGCAAATCCCCATCAGCACCAGCGCCAGTATGGTCTACGGTCCCGGGGCTGTTACCATGGCGACCACCACACCCTCACCTCAGATGACATCGGAGTGTTCGAGTGCGTCGGCGAGTCCGGAGCCCTCCATCCCCGTCATCCAGAGCACCTACAACATGAAGCTAGAGCCCAACCCAATGTCAGTGAACAACAGTGAGGTGGTCAACGGTGAAGATGACATGGACATGTATGAGGACTTCGAGGATGATCCCAAATCAGACTATAGTAGTGAAAATGAAACGCAGGAGCCAGTGAACACCAACTGAAGTGGAGAAGAAGACATGATGTGACGGAGGGTAGAACGAACAAGTACACCTGAAAATCCTAGTGTTTTTAACAATGAACACTGATTCATAAAAGGGTTTGAAGCTAGCATGCAGTTGTGGCTTCCCAAACTAAAAGCTATTTGGTCTTAAGTGTGTGAAGCAGTTTGGTTGTGGTAATTTAAGGTTTTTTTTTTATCTCATTGTTTTTTGTTTTGTTTTGTTTTTTGTTTTTTTTGTTTTTTTGCCATGGTGTTTTCATAGACATTTGTATTATTATTGTTAGGTTGATGCCTAAAAACCGTCAGAACTTGAAATTGAACGTAATAATTTTCCTCTTAATAATTAGGTGATAAATGACAGAACTGTTCAAGATGAGAATAATATTGTCACTCAGGTATAGTGTGCCAGCAGCTTGTGAATGTTTTAATCAATAGACAACCAGTACTAAATTATAACACAATTCCTACAAAATAGAAACTATTATTATTATTATTATTATTATTATTATTATTATTATTATTATTATTATTATTATTATTACAAAATCAAACCGCATGATTTTGTGCAGAAGTGCCAAATCTTTCAAGTTGTTCCTAAAATCTGTCAGGTCTTCTGGGGGAGACTTAGTGAGTCTTAGACAATCTCTTGATCTCTTAATGCAGCTTCATTATCCAGTCTTTCTTTAATTTACCCTAACAGAATAAACAAATGAAACTCAGGAAGTCAGCGGGAGACATCTTGGAGCTGTAGTATAAGATGCACATGGAGCTCCACAGAGCCCAATGCAGTGATCATCAATGAAAGGGCCAGCGCTTTCATTTTATCATCCACAAGAGGCAACGGAACATCCCTGACTCTTTTCCAGTGTGCCACACAGTCTGACTCACCAAGTTCTTAATCAGAGTGATTGTAATCAGGCCAGCATGCTAAAGGGCCAAAGGCCTTCAATCTGTGGGATTGGAACAGCAGCGAAAGGCAGCTTTGGGGCATTACATTCTCAAATTGATGTTGTACAATGTAGAGCTACTGTACATTCTGTTAAACACTTAAGCCCCATTTGGATGGCAACTTTAAAGCCTTCGGTCTTAAAGCTTCATTTTTAAATGTTAATTCTTTTCAGACATTGTAAATCTTAAATTGACACTAAGAAGTCTTAAAGCAGAGTGTGGTCATTGGGTTGAAGTAATGACCTGATTACTGCAGCAGTCTTAAGAAGAGGGACAGTTTCTGAAGATGTTCCTAAACAGAAAAGCCTTAAATCAAATGTTTGTTTCTTAAATTACCTTGTCGTGTTGACATGATGTTGTAAATGCTAACTTGCATTAGTGCACTTCGACAAATTCTCATGCGCTCATTATAGTATATTATAGTTCTAATCTAATTAGCTCCTGAATGCACTTATCTCTTACATTGAAAGAGAACAACATGTAATTATGCAGATGCAAGGGGCACAAATCTCTGATTTGGGCTTAAAAAGCTGACAAGTGGTGACCTTCTGAAGGCTGCAGCTTGATAAAAGCTCCCAGAGCTGTCGAGGCCTTGATGTAGCAACTCAGATCCTCTTTATGGGGCAGAAGGTCTAAGTGGCTCCCCTCTTAGCCATGCCCTGCTCTGACCCCTGCCCAGTGCAACCCCAGCACCCAGGGGGCGCCATCTGGCCCGGGCCAAAAGAACACACCGGGGAGGGCAAAGGAACAATAAACGCCGTGTGTGTGTCCCTCATTGTGCTCTCCATCAAAGTGCTGGAAGTAAGGCCTCAACAGGGCTCTCACCCAGCTCCAATCACCAGGCGCTGCTGAGCAGATGGAACAAGTACATCAAGCTGTGGGGGATTATTGAAATGACTGACGACTGGATATCATCTGAAATACACCATTATTAATGTATGACTCCAGCTATTCCCCCTGTGCCCTTGAACCTGTCCAGTGCATAAACTCCACTGTCCTTAGAGCGATCTGGAGGCTTGGTCTCTTGCTGTAGCTGCTTAAAATCCCCACTGCTGGTCACTGCATTTTAAAGCTCTCACTACATAACAGTAGCTACAAATGTACTGCTTGCCATCAATGTTATCAAAAGTCTAATGACACCTGTAATTCCTTCTTTATTTCTTATCATTGCATCTTGTCTGCATTTCATTGTTTGTTGAGGTACAAAACATTTCAGGACACTCAGACAAAGCCCTCCGAGTGGCCGTCCCTGTACAGTGTAATGTGTACGCTGTCTGCTCCTGTTTGCTGGTGGATAGATTGCTTTGTATGTGATGTAAATATGTTCTTGACCATGCCCCACTGATCGAGTGTGGCGGGCAGTTAAATGGACTCTTCACAGAACTGACTGTGCTCATACAGCAGAAAAGACAAAAAAACAATTCAAGAGGAGACAATGTTTCATAATGATGTAAGCACTGGATATACAGTTAAATTGTATTTTTATCAATGCTGATTAATGTGAAGCTGTTTGAGGAAAAAAAAGTCAAAATTCCCCAGCCGGACATTATGCTTTCACAGTTGCCAGATCTGAGTCGGTTTTGTCTACTTATTTTGTTTATTTATACAAGACACATGTGATGAATGAACTCTTTGTTTAAGCTTCAGGGCTGCCTAGGGTAGAGCACAAGAAAGCGAGCAGAAAATGTAACAGCGACGCTCAGTTAACCATGAAACGCCAGACTTCAGTGCATTGTATATTGTATTTGTATCAACATAGTATTTATTAGCCACAGCTGGCTCTAAAACTGTCAGTCGAAATAAAAAAGGACAATCAAAATGAACCCATTGGAGAAATTTGAGCTTACAAGTATCAGTCAATCCAACATCTCATCAATTTATTGTAAATAAGACATAGGGAATATATTTTGTTTATGAGTGTTTAGTGAAGTATAAGTTATGTTTTGGCTAATCTATTTTATTTTCAGTACGTTTTTATTTTTGTAAGTGATTTCATGTTTTTCAAACCTGACAAGTCACTGTACCTCATGTCGATGCTGAAATGTTCTGCAGGTTTGGACCGGAGACAAGCACCTCATATGTTTTGATAATCTTCCACAGAATAGACAGATAGATGTATTAAACAAAAAAAAAATATTTACAACTATGGTACTATTTAAAACGACATGCACTTGACACAGCGTTTATCAATAATATCAAATTATAAAAATCTGATGCTGAATTCTTGTCAGCAAAATATCAATACAATTTGTTGAAATCATCTGGAATAATTGGCATGCATTTGGCTTGCATATTTTCCACAATGTGTTTTCAGAATGATTGTTTTTAGTGATGCTTTTAGATGTTTTTTCAACGTGGGAGTGTGCAAATATTTATTTGTTTTTCATGTGTCAAATGTGCAGGTTGTGCCTCTTTATTAGTCTTAGTTTCTCTTATATTCTTTTTTGTCTGTTGCTGTTTCATGACTATCCAGCCATCCATAACACTTTTCTTTGATTCACTTGTTGGACGTGAAAGTGGTCTTAATGCACCATTGAAGACAACATGGATGCTGTTAAACCTGACTTACTGTATTTGATTTCTGTGTAATGTCTTTGGTGGGAATGTTCTCTGTGTTAATTTATCAGCACAATTCACTGACATGCTGGACTGATGCTAGCTGCTGTTCAGAAGTGTACAATTTGTTGTTCGGGGTGACTTTAAGCGTTGCCTTTGGTACTTTGCTTTTTAGAGTCTTTTAAGCAACACTGTGTGGCTCTGTGGTCACTGGAGCCTAAGTTCGAAATGTCTGGCAGCCTGATACAGTTTTCTGCATAGAAATCTTTTTTTTTTTTTCCTGGCAGGTACCTAGACCCATGGCAAGTATTGTTTGGGTGTTATTAGAGAAAATGAAATACATAGTGTCTGTTGCTGCTTTTAAAGAAGTTTATGTCTGAATATGTAAATAGTTTATCATAATATCTTGTACAGTCCAATGTAAAGTTTTTAATTCAATTTAAAAAATGTTGCCATCATTTGTGTTCACATTCTTCATACAGCTCAAAAGATCAATCATTTGCTAGGGGTATTATTGCTAAAAATGAAAAGAAAAAAGACAATGTTAAAAAACTTTTTATGTTTTTGTTTTATTTTTGCTTGGCTTCGAAGTGTAAACAAGCAAGTCTTTGGTTTCCTTGTGCAGTATTGACGTAAGGTGAATAATTTTACAGTGATGTGTGGAGAGGACTCTCCCGGCCTCAGATAGAAGTCTATATAAACCAATGAGACACAGACACAGACTGGTGTGTCATCTGTATGTGATGAAACGAGCCCAGAGGACAGTTCAGGCAGAACATCATGTAACAGCATTTGTCACGTCTCGCCCCATTGTAACTGTGCAGTGGTATAGGCTCAACAACTGCCTGTTCAACTCATTTACCTCAGCAACCTCCTCCTTTTCTGTAAGAGACACACTCATGTGCTGCAGAAATATTCTCACGTCACTCCATCTTTTGTACTGCTGTTGACACAAATTAAAGAAACATTTTGTTTTAAAAGCATTTGTGGCTTTATGTCTTATTGCTTACATTTGCATCACATGTGATTATCTTGAATGAGGAATGTTATGTACACTTTTAATTTATTAAATATATTCCCTTCGCCTTATTTTATCATTTTCTTCAACCACTTTTAGTAATTACCAGACATAATACACAATTTAAAATGATAGATTTTGCTTAATAAATTATGACATTAAAAATAGAGTGATTCCAAAACCCACAAAAAGTTTTACAGAATCCCATCTGAATTAAATCCAGATGTGATAAAGTGTATTAGGGAGTACTATTATAACATTCCTGATTTTGAAATTGTTGTAGCATTTCCTAATATTTACTAAACAAAAAATCAAAATAATAGATGCATATTTACTTTACACTGATGTGAACATTTTAGCAATAATTCACAGCATTTTCCACAAACACTTCAATTATTAATCAATCTTAAAAATAACATTGGTCTAGTGAGTATTTATATTTCATAGTACATAGGGGCTATGTTCTTCTCTGTGTATGA